TTGATCTTACTTTAGCAAGTGAGCACGCATCGCAACACATATCGAACTGGCATGTTTCGAACGAAGCATCGTGCTCAGACCATCGCTGGATCAAATTTAACTTTGAAATGAAACTTAAACTACCCGATCCCCGACGGAATCCCCGCACGATGGACCGGAAACGGTATGAACATCTTACTGCGGAGAATCTGCGAAGCATCAACCCAACATATGCTACGGGGACTGTTAAGGACATTGACAGTCATGTTGTCAACCTTACACAGACACTGATCGATAGCTTTGAACAAACATGCCCACTTTCCACACCCAGAACTGGACCACAGAACAAACACCAATGGTGGGGTCCGGAACTGGAAAGACTACGTCGTAAAGTGAGAAAGTTGTTCAATAAAGCAAAAAACTCGCGATTAGACCAACATTGGGATGCCTACACGCAGGCCCGACAACAATATAAGAAGAGAATCAGAACCAGGAAAACTGAGTGCTGGAGAAACTTCTGTACTAACATAGAAAACAACAACCAGGCTAATAGAGTCAAAAGCATACTGTGTAGTAGAGGCGATCACAATCTTGGCTCACTGAAGAAGCCTGATGGTGAGTATACCAAAACAGACTCGGAAGCCTCAGAGCTGTTATTAAAAACACACTTCCCTGGATGTCGCATTTCAGATGTGATGGAAAAATGGGAAGACAGATGGGAAAAACCACCAGATGATACAGACTGGGATACGGCCCGCAAAGTTGTCAATCATGACAAACTAAGATGGGCAATTAACAGCTTCCTACCATTCAAGGCGCCAGGACTAGATGGTGTCTTCCCAGGCCTACTGAGATGGTGTGATATGACACTACTGGACCATCTTGTAAAAATTTATAGGGGCTGCCTGGCGCATCAGTACATCCCCTTGAAATGGAGAGAAGTCAAAGTAGTCTTCATCCCCAAACCTGGTAAAGGTGACTACACACAACCCAAATCACACCGACCTATTAGTCTCACATCTTTTCTACTAAAGGTTCTCGAGAGGCTAATAGATAGGGAAATCAGGGAAACTGCGTTAGTCAGTCACCCTCTACACCTCAATCAACACGCATACTCGATGGGTAAATCAACAGAATCTGCCCTACATCGAGTTGTTTCATATATAGAAGACAATCTAAATCACAAAAGGTCAACACTGGCTACCTTTATCGATATCGAGGGAGCCTTTGACAAGACCAACTTCACCAGCATTAGCCAAGCTCTATCTAGGCATGGTGTTGATTCCACAATCTCAGGGTGGATCGATAGCATGCTAAGATATAGAGCTATTCAATTCACTGTGAGCGAAGTGACTAGAGGAGTGGTGGCTAGAGGTTGCCCCCAGGGCGGTGTACTCTCCCCTCTTCTATGGAACATTGTTGTGGATGAGCTCATCGCACAACTTAATGACCAAAGATTCCTCACAATAGGCTATGCAGACGATCTTACTATTCTTATCAGCGGTCCTTTTGAGAGCATTACATGCGATCAAATGAGACTTGCACTGAAGATCGTGGAACAATGGTGCGTAGCACACAACCTGACAGTGAACCCATCCAAAACAGAGATGATCATGTTCACAAACAAACGCAGCCTAGGTAATCTCAGACTTCCTAAGCTATTTGGAACACAACTTACTCTTACCAAAGAGGTCAAATACCTAGGAGTAATACTGGACAGTAAACTCCTGTGGAATATGCACCTCGATGAAAAACTGAATAAAGCCTGCATTATTTTCTGCCAATGCAAGCGGCTACTCGGCAAAAGCTGGGGACTATCACCCAAAATCACTTTATGGCTATACAGGACAGTCATAAGACCAATAATCACTTACGGTGCTGTTGTCTGGTGGCAGAGAACAGAGCTTAGCACCGTCATAAACAAACTGCAGCAATTCCAGCGACTTCCATGTTCCGCGGTCACTGGCTGTATGCGCACAACGCCTACTGCCGCACTGGAGGTGGCTCTTGGTCTGCCACCCCTGGATCTATTCATACAGCAGGAGGCCGCCATGGCGATCATTAGACTCAAACACCTGGGTCTATGGCACAAAAGTGAGGGATCGCACTCCAAATTATGGGATCAATTAGTGGAATACGAACCACTGATAGCAGCTCCATGCGATAGAATCCCAAAACACCATATCTTCACAAGAAGATACTACATCCAGATACACGGAAATGACCGAGATCAATCCGGCATTAACGAAGTCCGAATTTACACGGACGGTTCCAAGACTAGGTCAGGAACTGGAGCCGGAGTTTTCTCGCAAGACCTAAATATAAACAAATCACTAGCGTTAGGCCAACACAGTTCCATATTTCAATGTGAATGTGTGGCAATAACTTACGCTGCCACAACGGCCATGTCAAGGGGTATCAAGGACTACAACATCCGAATAATATCCGACAGCATGGCCGTCTTAAAGGCACTGGAGGGCAACACAATGACCTCTGGTATTGTCTTCGAATGCCACCAAGCACTGGAACAGCTCGCTATATTCAATGGGGTACTCCTCCAATGGATTAAAGGGCACAGTAACTCACACGGGAACGATGCCGCAGATGAGTTGGCAAGGAGGGGCTCGGCAACCCCAACCTCTGGCCCAACGCCACTCCTGCCCATATCGTTTAACCAAATACGATGCTGGGTCAGGCAACGGACCTGTGAAGCACACAACCGGAGGTGGAAAAACTCACCCGGCTGCAGACAGTCCAAACTGGTGCTGAATCAAGTCACACCACGACTCACCTGCAGATTGATCAGTCTTAGCAGACCGGAACTCAGAATGGTTGTCGGAACTATTACAGGACATCTAGCCCTGAACCGACAACTATTCATAATCAATGCGACGGACAGTCCCCTGTGCAGGGGATGTCTGGAAGCTGAAGAAACGGCCGCCCACGTAGTCCTGGAATGCGAGGGAGTGGCCACACAACGGGCAAGTATCATTCCTGATATAAAGTCGCTCCTAGAAGCCTGTGAACGCCCCAGGAGGCTTCTGCGCTTCTGGAAGGAGCTTGGTTGGCTCACCTAGTCAACCAATCCTCGACGCATAAAGGACCACTCTGAGTCTAAATGCGGAAACCGAAGCCCACAACCAATACCAAAAAAAAATAGGTGTTGTTGTTAATACCGAGAAAATAAAACCAGTTTTTAGTGGTATATGTTGTTATAGTAGCAGCAGAAACACTTTGTGAAAATTTCGAAAACTATTTAATGACACACAGACGGTAAAAAAAAAAATCTAGTATTATTCATACACGCAGATAATAAACAAATATTATTAATAATAAAATACCACGTCTTTACTTTGAATTATGCAAAGTAACAAAACACACATGCACCGAAGTTTTAACACAAGCATAAGTAGGTACCTACCGTATCATGATTCAACCGCATATAACTACCTATTTCACTCGTCTCAATAACTTTCCGTTACTCTATTCGCTTTATTTATTAATCCAAACACCTTTTTTTTCGTGAGATAAAAGGAAATACTTATCCATTAAAAAGACACATATTATGTACCTACCTACTAGTAAGTAAAATTATTATTTTATTAATTATTATTAAGTAAAGTAAAATTATTATAGTCTTACCTTTCAGTTTCCAGGTAATTAAAAAAAACTTATGTCTGGATGCGTTATTGACGAATTCATACAACCAAAAACAGCACAATATTTCCTACTCGTTATATTAACTGATTTTTAGAGAAAAATAGCGCGGTTATTGTTAAAAAAACAACACACCGTCCATTCGACACTGCGGCACAGCCGTGACTGTCTGCGCCCCGAGCGCACCCCGAGATCGAGGCGCGTAGGTATAGCTCGCGTTTCGTCCGTTTGTATGAAGTTGGAGTACTGTATTATAATAGTACCATGGTATGGGTGTTTGTACATAAAAGTGTAAAAAATTAAACTTCTTACACAATGTGACAACAAAGATTTGAAAAAATGTAAAAAAGCTGCATCAAACTATGGGTACAGATGTAGCTTTTTTACAATTTTATAGAGAATTATCTTAGATCTTTTAATCTAAGCAATGGATTTTAATGTGGTTTTCACCTATAGAGAGAGTGATTCAAGAGGAAGGTTTATATATATAATACAAGCATATTTTAGTAGAGAAAATCCAAGAATTTCAAAGATTTGTGGTAAAAAACATGTTATTGTGCGCTTACATTGCAAAAGCTGGCTAAACCTTACAAGATAGACCAAAATAATCTACTATGGAATTGTATATTTATATGTTATATGTTATTGTTCTTAGAAAAATCTATTTTATGTAGATTAAAAGATATGTAGTAGATAATGTAGATATTATAGAGGTTTAAAATGCGGGGTCCAACGACCGTTGAGCCGTACGTCCGTCCCGGGCCTATAAATATTGCATTTAAAGATGTCCTGTAGTATAGTCCTATCATAATAATAGTAAAATTAATTACTACACACTTAGGTATCTACATTGCACCCGGGCGGATCGCTAGTAGATTATAAATATTGACCTGTCATACAGAACAGAAAGATCAGAAAGTCTATTCAATGAGAGTTCAAACTAAACTTGTCCTTAACAAACAAAACTTGTTAAAAGCAACTAAAAGTGTTATGGTGACTACCGGTGACCGATATGGTTGAGCTTATTCCTAAACTTAAAATGAAAAGTGACTGCCCAGAGAACAAAGGCAAAAACAAATTATGAATAGATACAATACTTTTAGTATGTATCTAGCTTTAGTGTAGAAAAATTCTGATACGAGATTTATCTGAAGAAATTCTCAGTACGCAAGCGTAAAATAGCAAGAAACGGGTCAGATAGCAATAAAACTAATCGAATCTGTCTATACACTAATTCATGCCTACCTATTCAACATACTGTTACAATTTATTAGAAGGGTCATACTTTTTCCGTATTATGGGATAAGTTTCTATTCGTAATTTTTAACTACCAATTTCAACAACAAAAAGGACAGCATACTAACGCTTATGGCGAAAATTTCTCGCAACATGTCGGCGTAGACTTCTTCTTCGCCCATCCATGTATAAGAAGTTTTAACGTCTTTAAAAACACCCTCTGATGCACAACACCGGCACATACTGTTCAAAATTGCCGTCTCCATATTGTAAGACTTCACAGTTATCACATTTAGACTTAAAATTATATAAACATTTAAAATAAAAGTTATAGGACGCTACAGCTCCGTAGCGCCGCCATTTTCTAAGTAGAGTTTTTTTTTTACTTCCGATTGGATTTGAGAAGGCCTCTACTGAAGCAAAAGAAATAGTCTTTACAGTCTAAAGTAAAATTAAAAAAATATATATCATGAAGCTATGACTGTCCTGTCGAAACATCTAAAAAACTTAAAGAGTTATTAAAGGTCAGTTTTATTTAGAATGAAGATATGGTATTTTGGACTGAAACCAATTAAATAATTATAAGGAAAGAAAATGACAACTATGAACACTGGTTGAACGAAACGTTAGTAAATATTTTTTTATAAATTGACAGATGACGATGACACTTGACAGCACTGTAGGCCTATTATACATAGTTTTGCTATATTTAGCATAGGTTTAATGCGATAGAAAATTCTTCTAAATGTAAACACTATGTAACTCAATGTGTTCAAATCTGATGAACCGATTAAAATGCTAAAAGTGTAGCTCAAGTAACTGTATGTAGTAGGTACTGTCAGTGTAATTGCTTGCTATGGGTCTTTTTGAAGACAATTATCTATTATGATCTTATTAAATACATGACCTAAAAGTGCATTAAAGCGACGATAATGTTTAATGGAGCTTCATGCCGTTGTTGCCTTGTGCGCCCGCCAGACAAGGATTTGTACTCCACATACTCAAGACTCGGCAAACCTGAAGTTTATTCTGACATGCTGAAAGAATGTTTTGAAATACACGTAAATACTCATTATTATTTTCTTGTATAATGTGTTACAATAGCAGAACATAGTCAGTATTTGCTCCAACCTTTAAATATTTAAAAGGTTTTAGTAAAAACATCTCAGTAAAATTAACCGACTTTATAAAAGGAGGTTTTGATACGTTTTATATTAAATTTGTAACGTCAGAACTCCTTCATTTATGATCTAATTTGGGAAATTCTGTTTTTATTATATATATATAATAAAATCGGATGGATCGGATATATTTCCGATTCAAATTTGAAGTGGAAATACCACTGCAGAGGTTGCAAAATTTAGGAATGCGGAATACTGTTTATTACAATTCATCATTCACATGATGTATGTGCATTGAAGTTGCTGATACTTTTTATCATCATCATCAGCCTACCGCAGTCCACTGCTGGACAGAGACCTCTCCAATTGCATGCCACGTAGATTGATTTTGGGATTATTTTTAATAAAAAGACCTTAAGTCAGTCAAAATACTTATATTATGACTGAATTACCTACTCACTGATCAGAAATGGACTTTATAAGAATTTAATGGAATTTATTTCCTTGTACTTAACTTTGAAGCCTCACTTAAGCTTATATTGTGGTCACTACACAAAGTTATAAACAAAATTTTTGTTTTAAAAAATGTCAACTCATGCATCAGGAATATCCTGTGTTGTGGGGGACTTACACACACAACAGACATACATGAAACAGATAGAAAGAACACCCAGACTTAAAACAACATTTTGTTGAGTACACAAAATGTTCTAACAAGTGAGGATGTAACCCACAACATTTACTTTCTACCAAAGTGAAGGAAAAAAGGATTCTTTGCAAGTCTTATAATTTCAAGTACTTGTAGTTAGGGTTAGTTGCCAGATATTTCCAGTACTGATTCTTATTAAAAATTCCTGTTTGTTTTCTTTTATCACTCAGTACTGACAATGAAAATGTAATTTAGCTATTTTGATTTGTCAAAACAAAAAGATATCTATCATAAAATTCATTCAAAATCCAAAAATGAGTTGATCTCAAAAATACCTAATATAATAGTCTGAAGTAGGAGTTCTGGATGCCGCCGCGAAGAAGCGACGTCCGCGTGTGCCGGACGTCGCCTAAATCGAGAGTTTACCCAAAGGTGGTGTGCCCGCGCTGTTGCGGGCAAACGCTGGGAGGGGTCCTCATGTCATGATATCAGCTGTTCCCGGACCCCTCCTATCTCAGCTGCGAAGTGGCACACCGTGCGGTTTTAGTCGGTTCGATTCCCACAAACCGCCCCGCCGCAAACCCCGATGGGGTGACGGCCCGAGGTTCCACACGATAAAAAAAAAAGGAGTTCTGGAGGCTAGTTGCATGATCTAATACAAAAATGCAACTTTTTAAATATTATTAGGGGCCATCCATAAATTACGTTAGGGTTGACGAAGTGTGATATTGTAAAAAGGGGTGGGTGGGGTCCCATATTTCGTGACATCACTCTTTTACCTAAAATATGTAGGTATTAAAACGCGAAATTTTTAATTATTAACAGTAATATATGCAATTCATCATTCAAAAAATATTTTTAATGAATATAAAACCAATTTCGAAACTGCTGCTTTATTTTAGAAAATTCTGGATATAAATTGCATATGTGACGTCACACTAGGGAGGGGGGGAGTCTCACAAATGTGATCAGCTGCGGCAAGGACGGGGTCAAAAAACCATAAAATTCTTGTGACCTAATTTATGAGACCTTGCACCTACCGACTATTACTTTTTCCAAAAATTTAGACAACATTTTAGTGGGTAAAAAATTCAATTCCCGAGACGCAGTACAAAATGCCTTTGAAGAGTTTGTTGCCTCCCGTCCAGCAGATTTTTACAAGAAGGGCATCAATAAACTGGCAATGCGTTGGCAAAGATGCGTCGATTGCATGGGTGATTACTTCGAATAACAGAAATAAAAAAGTTTGAAAAAATAAGTACTTTCACTTATTGCATACAAAACGGCAATTTCATAGGTAAAGACCTAATATATGTATTTATATATTATTAAGAAACTGCATCAGTGCACAACCGAGACAGTCAAAGAAAGGTGAGGGCCGGTTGTTATCCCTACAATAGGCATCTCTTTAATGTACACGGCCAACTACAGTCTATGGAGGACATATGGGTGAGGCCATCTGAGACTTACCCTAACTCCCCTGCACTTTTCGTTTCCCTGTATCCGTGCGGTGTCGGATTAAGAATACGGAATGTCACCACGCCTATTTATCCCGTGGGTGACGTAAGATTCGACTAATGGAGCAAACTACGCAGGACAACTTGAAACTTGACACAAACCCTCTACCAACCCGTGTGGCCAACGTGGTATAGTAAGCCAAAACCTGCTTTCTAAGGAGAGGCCTATGTCTAGCAGTGGCTTATTAAAGGGTGTTGATGTGATGTGTGGTGATTAGCTTCTCTTGGCTTCTTTCTTTTTTTACTATCGGAAAACAAACCACAAATGTCGTTAACGCGCTTATGACTCCTGAGTTGTAAGCGTTCATGGGTGGCGGTAGTAAATCAAACCAGCAAAAACCTTTTGCAATGTTATTTAATCACTACACTGTACACAAAACAAAATGGGAATAAGTCATAATAAGGATGATCATAATCTTTTAGGTATGGGGCATTTAAACCCATGTGAGACTGTGAAAAATAACCAGTAAAATATTAAAAAAAACATTTGCAGTTACCTGATAATTCCGGTGATGAGGATGCCGGTATATGTGAAATCTGCATCATGCGTCTCCGTGATGCTAGTGACTTCAAACATCAAGTGCAGCGCTGTCAGATAGATTTCAGAGCTAAGCTGTTGAGCATCAAAGGTACACCATATTTTTTCTTGCAAACCACGTTCTGGCCAAACAAGCATATGACCCATCTGATAAGTGGTTACCGTATTCTATGATATTGCATAAAATAATATCAAATGGATATGTGTTAAGGAATAATCCCCCAAAACGAGGACACACGATGATATTTATGACACCTTTAATGATGGATCAGAAAATAAATGGATCCTGGTGAAAAAATAAACATCTTTTTACAACATTTTATTAGCATTATTTAAAGATAATCGAACTCACCACTTTTTTATCTCCTTTAATATAATGAACTAACAGCTACACCAACAGGCCCGCCATACGTTACTGGAGGACCAACCCTGGGGGGAGGACCTCCCGCTACCTCTCGGGGGCCGGGGGCAGGTCACACAAAGAGGGCAGGTGTATAATAGGTGGCGTTAGTCACTAACCAAAAAAATTACGTGAATACGGCCAAAAATAAAACATTAATTAGCTCTATTTTTTGCCAAATTTGGGGATTTTTTTGACACCGCTTTTCGATTTTTTACGCGGAGCGACTGCTATCAAACCTCCGCGGCCTAAGCACTCGTACTAGCCGATATCGAAGTCCTGTAGATAGATCGTTGTCGGACTTTTAAGGGCTCCATCTAACGTAACGATTGCCTGAGATGTTCGTCTGACAACCGGTCCCCGGTTGCTATACGTTACAATTAAAACGGTACAATTGATTTCTAATATTTGTTATAGATGAAGCTCATTCGAAGGTGAAGGAAGAACTTGCTGAATTGGACGAGGAGAATGGAATATTATTCCTAGGTATGCTTTTTACTTACATACCTACGTCTACCTTGGGAGAGCCGTGCTTCGGCACAAAAAAAAAAAAACGGTTTTATGCAGTTATTTTATTGCTTGTATGGAATGAGTGAGGTTTCCAGAGCCCAAAGCTCCTGATTCTGGTAGCAACGCACTTGTGACTTCAGTTACAGATGTCCTTGTGCGCTGGTGGTCACTTACCATCAGGTGATCCGTCTTTCCGTCAGCCCCCTTATGCTATGAAAAGAAAATTGATAATTCACAATAGTTGCGTAACCGACTGTGCACTTTTCACAATCTGCTGAATAAATCGCCTGCTGTATTTCCTGACCGATGTGACCTCCAAACTTTCAAAAAAAAGAGCGTACTCCCATCTCAAGGGACGGCAACTTCTGACTTCTGAATTGCAGGCGTTCATGGGCATCAAGTCACTTTCCATCAGATCGAATCGTTTGCATTTGTCCCCTAGGTATCCAACTAGGGTAGTTCAGCTAAAAAATAAACCCACAGATCCTAACTTTAAGAAATGAGCAAGGTTATTTGATTCCTCAGAAATTAAGGACGAAGTGTCAGACTTTGAAGACGGATTGCTGAAAGAAGAAGACGAAGACGACAAGAACTTGGCAGAAATAATGAGCTTCAACAACGTCAGCATTAAGAAGTATTCGTCGAAGAAGGGCACCACTAAGCGAAGGTTAAACAAAAAAGGTAAGATAGTTATTTTTATCTGACTGCGATATGAGGGATGTGTTATCGAGTATGTCGTTATGATCGTAGAATAATGTAGATTTAAAAATAACACTAAATTCAGTTTTTAGCATATTTGGATACTACATTGTCTAAATATTATTACTTCCTACATTCAAGACAAAATTATATCTATTATAGATTTTAAATTATTCAGTCTGTAAACTGACAGATTTGATAGGCGCTCAAAGTAAAATGAGGCATGTGATTTTTATAGAAAATTGTGTAATTATTAGTTTTTATTTTTATTGCATTTTAGAACAAACCCTGTTTTTCACTTGTATGTCAATTTTCATAATTACATATTTAAAATTAAAAAAGCTATGCCAAAAAACCAACCGCCGATTGTTACGTCTATATATTTGTTAGTAACTTATGTGTTAACTGTCTACAATAAAGAAATAAATAAATATATAATTATTTTAAGTGGCTAACCTGTAAAGTTCAATAAATGACAGATCCGACACTGTTCTACGACTATGACGATGTATATGACTGGCCATAGATTGTGGGTTCGATTCTCACTCATGTGGGTGATGAGCATGATCATTTGTTCTGTGTCTGCGCGTAATTTATCTTTATTTTATCTTTAGTATTTTGAAATCTATGTTTATCAGCAGTCTGGTTACCATAGAGTAGAATATTATTTATTGTACACCAATTACAATATGTTACATTAATGCTAAAAACAATCTCTAATAGGCAACCTTTGGATGGACAAATCGACAGTTGATGAGAAGAAACAATGGGTAGTCCAGGTGTATTGCAGCTACAGTAGTGTGAGCAGGCTAGGTGTGGGCACAGGTTCTGCCCAGTTTGAGATAAGACTGCCGTGTGTGAGATGTTTGAATTTATTATTATTATTACAGATCGAAAATCAAAGAAACATAGTTCGTTAAAGTTGTCCCTGCGCACGCTCACAACGATGAACGAAATTCTGCAGGCCAAGAAAGTAACGACATCTAGTTTGGTCTCCGAAAACACAAAGCACAAGTTTAATATCGAGAATTTGCTCAAGCATTCGAACTGCACGCCGTTTTCTAATAAGACATTATCAGGTAATCATCATCATCATCATCAACAGCGTTTAATAGTCCACTGCTGGACATAGGTCTCTCCTTAGAAAGGAGGTTTTCGCCTACTGTACCACACTGGCCAGACGGGTTGTTATAGGGTTTGTTTCAAGTTTTCCTTCTCTTTGCAGTGCTGTTATCCTGGGCAGTTTGCTCCCTTAGTCGTCTCTTACGACACTCATAGGATGAACAGGGGTGGTGACATTCCGTATTCTTAATCCGTCACCACACGGACAAGTATCAGTATTATCAGGTAATGACATGGCATTTTTTTCTCTCAGCAGAGGCCCAATTGCGAGTTTATTTCATATCTACTCGATCGTCATGGTGACTGCTTTGGGAGATTCACCCGCACTGAAATGTTAACCAATCGCAACGCAGAACGCGCTCGCTGTCGCGAGTGAGTTGGTGTGAAATAAACTTGCACTTAGCCTTCAGATATGTATTCTATTTCTTCCCAAACTAGGTTGGGGTCAGCTTTCAGTTTACTACGACAAGGCTGAACTTCGGTCTTTACGCGAAACGACTGCCTTCAGACATCCTCAACCCACGTAGCGATAAAGAAGTTCTGTTAGATAGACTGTTGTATTGCACAGATATTGGTATGGCAACCGGTACCGACAGCTTAACGTGCTCTTCGAGGCACGGAGGGGGGTCTTAAGAATGGTGACCTATCTATAGACTTACCTGGCTAGGATTGCTTAACTTTGCAAAGTGTTAACCTACTCGGTTATCACTCAGCCCTGAACTCGCTTTACTCTAGATCTGTTTTTCGTTAATTTCTCGCAGTTTCATCATTATAGAATTCATTCAGGTTCATTTCGGGTATTCAATTCCCACTCAGGGCAAATATTTTCTATTCCTATTTTTTTAAATGTGTAATACGTTAATTATATAAAAAATTTAAAAGGCTTTGCTTATTTTGGGTGTAGGTAGCGCTTGCATTGAATTTCCCAGAATATTCAAAACTATAACATCACTATCTTTTGCCCGAGGCTCCGCCCGCGTGTATGTGGGTAATCGTAACGGTAACTAGTCTATGTCCTTTCTCAAGAACAAAACTATCTCCATACCAAATTTCATCTGAACCGGTTAAGCGGTTATTGATTCCACATACAAACTTCCACCCCCTTTTCATCCCCTTGAAGGATGATTTCTGGGATTAAAACTATCCTATGTCCTTTCCCGGGACTCAAACTATACACCAAATTTCATAAAAACCGGTTCTTCGGTTTAAGCGTGATGAGGTAACAGACAGACAGATACATTTTGGCATTAATAATATTAGTGTCGAACATCATCAAACAGTGATGAGTTCACTAGTGAGTACAGGCATCACCTAAAATTTTCTCAAAAAAATTTACCTTCAATTTACTTATAAATATACCGTATTTTGGGTTTCTGATGTGTGTTTTACATAATTTTGTCCCAAAATCCCTCTCACAATATTTTCAACTCGGTTCTAATTTACTATTGCATAAACATTTCGCTTGTAACCATACAAAGTTAATATCATCATCATCAACAGTTCCCGTCCCTTGTCCAAGAACATAGGGTTGGCGCGTTGTGTAACACGTTTCGCCACATTCGATATCCATCCTGACAAACCAAAAAAGTATAATATATAAATATATATATATTTTTATTTTTTTTATACTTGGAAACCTTACAGTAGCTAGTAGCATTAGTAAACTGAAACAGATTCATTGTCTTAGAGCCAATTACAAGTTGTCACTTCTAGTTTCAGACTAACAAAAGTTATTGTAAGTAAATAGGTTAAAAGAAAAAAACACGTTAACACAATGTCACATATTCCAGGTATAATCTGCGCGTATTGTAAAGAGACGTACTCGGACCTCCAGCACCTCCGCTCGCACATCGCCGCCGCCCACGCGAACGACCATCTCATCGACAACAAACGCATGGATAAAAGTAACCTCTCCATCAAAATTGACATCACAGGCCTCCAGTGCAAGCTGTGCCACGCGGCCTGTGACGCCATCGCCAATCTAAAAACACACCTCATCAACAAACACGACATCAAATTCTACCCCGACGTCAACGACTACATTTTAGAGTTCAAACTTACAGACGGACAAATATTAAACTGCGCTTTGTGTAATTCCACATTCGAAACCTTCAAAATGCTACTGCAACATATGAACGGCCATTACAGAAATTATATATGCGATATTTGTGATCTGGGCTTCATAAATAAACATAAATTAAGAAACCATCAACGCACGCACGATATAGGCACGTTTAACTGTTCGTTTTGTGACAAAGTCTTCAGTACGAGAGTGAGGAAACTCTGTCACGAGAAGTATACTCATAATGCAGGCGCCAGGTACACGACGAACTGCCCACACTGTGATGAGTCGTTCACCAGTTATTATCAAAGAAACAGACACATGACTGACGCTCATAATTCATCTGCAGCCACTTATAAATGTAACATTTGCGATAAATCATTTATATTAAAATCAAAACTCACATCACATATAAAAAAAGTTCATTTAATGGAACGAAATCATATTTGTGCGGAGTGCGGACAAGGATTTTTCATCAAGCAATCGTTAGATGAGCACATGATAAAGCATAATGGCGAAAGAATATATAAGTGTACTGTTTGTAGTAAGGCTTATGCGAGAAAAAAAACTCTAAGAGAACATATGAGAATTCATAATAATGACAGGAGGTTTAAATGTGGGCTGTGTCCGCTTGCCTTCGTTCAGAAGTGTAGTTTGAAGTCTCATATGTTGTCGAACCATGGCATCACTCTCGCTGAATATGAGAGCGCCAAAACTGGTGCTTCGAGTCCTTAGATAACGTAGATAATATATTGTAATTGTACAATAATTTATATGAAAAACTGGCTATTTCAAATTGGCCAAAATAAGTTAGGTATAGTAGATTTATATCAGCGGTTGTAAGGTTTTTTTTTACATTTCTATCAAAGACAGAATTTTATTTTTTTATCAGCGACCGAGTCGAACGTAAGGTTGTTTTAGTGTCATTTAAAACATCAAATAAGATTATTTGTTAATAATCAAATCTCCCTTAAATATTTAAAGGGATCTGTTAAAAACTCCTTAATAGTAAGTTATGAATTTATAGAAATTGAAAAAAAACTTATTTGATGTAAAAAAGCAATTTAAAATATATATTTATTATAAAAATTTGACGATTGTAACCATCTGTGCAAGATGGCTGGCAGGAGCTGGATGCGAGAAGCCGAAAATCGATCGAAGTGACGTGCAATACGAGAGGCCTATGTCCAGCAGTGGACTGCGGTAGGCTGATGATAATGATTATGAAATTTTTTAACTCAAGATCCTTATTCTGGGGACAGGGCGTTGGTAGTCACTTACCGTCAGGCGACAAGTATGCTCGTTTTCCCCACTATAACATAGGAAAGTAGGTATATACAGGAATTATTGACAATGTTTTTAATGGGACATTAAACAGTTACACGTTGGGTAATAACTAGTTTAAAATTAGAGTAAATAATCTGTTGAGTGAACGTGCAACCCAAACCAATGTCCACGAAATAATATTTGAAGGAACGAAGTGTAAATTGTGCGTATTTTATAAATGTGTTATGGTAGTTAAAAGCGAAGTTTTAAAAATTTGAGTTGCTGCCATTTTGAATTTTGTTTGTTTTTAATGCATTTTACAAATATCATCACAAATATATAGCTATTTTTTTGTTTATTGTTCTAAGTATTGAGTACTATTGAGTGTATTTTTTATTTTTCTTCATACGTAAGATATTATTTTGAAGTATAAAAAGTATCAAAACTATGTATGAACATTATAAATATAAAATTTCAAACATTTTGTACAACTACAGGACAATGCAGTTTACATATGGTTTCTACCAGCCTATCTAATAAAGTTGTATTATTATATGAGGTACAAAAAAGGACTAAGAAATCTATTTTTTTCATCTTAACTGATTATATCTATATATCTAACATTAAAAGTTATTCTTACATAAAGTGCAATAGGGAGCTTTATAAATAAAATATTGAGTCAGTAAGCTTAAACTCACTATTCGAACTCTTTTTTTTTCTAAGTGCTACATTACAACACAAATAATTAAACATACATTTTTTTTATAAAGATTATCTTTGTCCACAACTGTAGCTGTACACGGCCTTGTTTATGGCTAGGCTTAACTATAAATGTTAGTCTATACTTTATGTAAATATATATGTAGGCATATGTATCAGTGATTATTGCTTTCGTTCTTCCATGCTGCCAAGTAGGTAACATATGGTACAATTTGTTAATTTATTTTTGTTATTTAATAAAGATTTTTTATAAAATTTTGTGTTTATTTTCACAGCTCTCCTTTACAATATATACACCTTTCAGCATACAACAATGGCTGATTTATTGAGCAACTGTAGTGCAACTGCAATGGGTTCAATTCCCGCATATCTATTGTCATTGGTAAAGTTTTAATATCTAGAGCCAAAATATTGCTCCGAAACAAACAACAGGCAGTCATACTTTCACTTTCTCAAACCCATTTTGGACAATTTCTACAATTCAAAATTCTACAAGACGATAATTAATGAAAAAAACATAAATAAATGCAATAATTGCATAGGTATGTTTCTTTAACGTTATATACTACTGTTTTTGAGTCGCATTCATTTTTCCTATCAGGGAATCCACAAAATAAATACAAACAATAATAATTTCCTTAACTATTTATTTCAGCTTAATCAGTTAACGTAATATATTTTACAAAACTGTACAATCTTATATTTGAATAATGAAATTTTGCATTGTAATAAGGGTGAAATCTCAAGGCAAAATGCCACATCAAGCTATAGAACTTCATATAAAGGAACAAACGATAAAATAGGCGGGCCAGTTGGTAAGTGACCCTGACTGGTAAGCCAAAGGTAGTGATTTCGATTCCCACCCGTGATAAATATTGTGTGATAAGCACGAATCTTTGTTCTGTCTGTGTAAAATTTATCTACGACAAGCTGACCCGCGCAACTGCGTCTACTTCTCTCAAAAGTTCGTTTTCGCAACCTTTTTCATTGATACCCGTCTCCTAATGGTCGTGTCCTCCCTCGATAAAAGGCCTATGCTAAAAGAATTTTCCAATTAAAACCAGCCGTTTATGCGTAATGCCGTGACCAAGGAATTAGGGATTCTGATAAATAAGACTAGATATAAGACTTACGATACATTTACCTTTTTTAAAGTATATTAATGCATTTTTGCATTCGCTAAAACCACTGTTCAAAGCAGTTGGACCAGTCTTAAATTACTGTAAAAGTTAAGTCATGCGGTATCCATCGAGTGCAAACCTTCCGAACCTTCAGATGCACATGTTAAATGTTTTGCACTTGGCTCATTCCAAAACAATAACAAAGTAAAAATTTGCTGGCAAGTAATTTTTTTGTCAGTTTGAATAAGTTGTCGTATGGTGTCAATATTAGAGTCTATAACCGCAGTCGTCGGCCGAACTTCACGTACCTCGTCATGGAGATGATCACGTCCACGTCTAAATTCTCCAAACCATGAATACACAGAGCTGCGACATGGTCATGGGTGTACCCAGCTTTTACTTAGGGGTGGGGCAAAATTAAGGGGCTCGTGGCTAAGTGGTAATCGAGTATTTTAACACATTACAAAGTACCAAGATGGGTGACCATTTATTATGGATTGAAATAGAACCTGTAGATACTTCATAAATAAAGGGGTGAGTCACGGTAGAGGGTGGGGCAAGCGCCCCACCTGGCACCACTGTGGGTACGCCCATGGACATGGTGTTTCATCACCAAATGCCAATTGAAGTTTCTGACAACTCTCGTTGACTTAAGCCACAACGAAAATGTTCACGAGTTAAATTCATTTTGATAGCGACACACAAATTTCGAAAGGACGTCACAATGAAAAAACAAATGACAGTCTCGCAAATTAATAAGTAGAATAAGAAACACGTTTCCAAAGAGTTGCATTTTCGAATTTTATAATTATTTTTTCATTCTTTTATTGTAAGTGGCCAGATCCAAAGCCTTTCAGTATGCCCCACGTATATTTAGAAATATTTCAGTATGTTTATCAGTAGTCTGGTTACCATATCACAGGCTCTGCCTAGTTTGAGATCAGACTCGTGTGTGAGATGTGTGAAGTATAGTCATAATGTTAAATAATCAGAATGAGACTATATTCATGTATCAATTATAAACAGAATAATAATATCGCCATGCAGAAAAAAATACTGTCGATTACAAGGTTCGGCCCAACTTTACTAGATGGCGTAGCGAGCTGAATAATAAAACTGGCGATTGATAACAATTTCTATATATATGAAGAATATTCTTTACGTCGCCTTTTAAACAAATGTGGCGCACAGTAGCACATCAGACTTCTTTTTTTGTATTTGTACTGCAGGTTTTTATGTAGAAGAAGTACACCAAGTTATGATTTATAAACAATGTGCTTTACAGTTAGAAAAATTGTAAAAACGGCTACGTGACGCTATAGATACACAGTATATATTTTGACCTATTATTGTACAAAAGGCTATACAATAATGGTTCAAGTTACATTGGGTTATTGAAATATTAAGCCATTCAGAACGGTCCAAATTCGACTGCCATTTTATCTCCAATTAATACAGGCTCTTTTGTAATATGAAAAATTATTAGAGGCTCTGTATTTAGTAGCAAATTAAAAAATATAATATAAATGTTATGAAACCACAAGATACATAAACATTTTTATCACAGAATTAATCTTAAGAGAGACTTAACATGAGATATATTTTTTTCAGTTTTATGAAAAATAAACTAAAAAACATTAAGTACACAAACTGGACATCGCTTTAGCGGGTTTGACTATATTGGGACCCCCTTTTTCACAGGCAAAAAAATGTCAAATTGATGTTTTCAATATATCTACTGTCCGTCTTGTAATTTAACAACAGGATTCGAAGTTATATCCGAGGCAGCCATACTAATCCCATGATTTGACAACAAATGACTTTTTAAACTGCACTTTTGAACAAATGTCATACTACACACATCACACTTGAACCGTCTATCATTATTATGTATTCTCATGTGTTCCCGCAATGTGTACTTCCTTGCATAAGATTTATGGCAAACTTCACAAGCATATATTCTTTCACCGGTATGTTTCACCATGTGGGCTTTCAAAGCCTTTTTACTGAAGAACCGGTAACCACACTCCGTACACTGACAATTACGTTCCATTAAATGACTTTTCTTTATATGATACATTAATAAACTCTTCAAAATATAAGCCTTGTTGCACACATTACATTTGTATTGAGCCTCAGAGTTATGTACTTTGACTAAATGTTGATTCCGTTGGTAGTAACTACGGAATGGCTCGTTACAGTACGGACAGTTAGATATATTTCTCGCACCAAAATGTTTGATTTTCTCATGGTAGTGCTTCTTGGCTCTGCTTGGGAAGATTTTATCACAATGATCACATTTAAAGGAGCCTTCTTGATGTGTTGTACGATGTGCGTTCAGTGATCTCTTTGTTGCAAATGACGTTTCACACTTGTTGCATGTATAGTTGCTATAGTGTAAATTCATATGTTGTTTTAGCATTTTGAAAGTTTCGTATGTAGATGTGCATAAAGCACAGTCATACACATCGCCTTTTCTTAGTTTAAATTGTAAGATATGATCTTTAATATCGTTATAAATTGTTTTTTCATGTATTTTGACTAAGTGTTCTTTTAAAGTCGTTAAATTATTAATTTTCTCATCGCATAGAGTACAGGATAGATCAGATATGTCCAGCTTTACATTATATTCAGTCATGTCAAAGTTGGATTTGAAGTTCAGCCTCTCCGATTGGTGATCATTTTCAGTATGTCTTCTCAGGTCAACGGGATCAGGATACGAAGCCTCACAATACCCGCAGATAAAGCCAAGTAGAGATTTATTCTTAAATGGTATTGCGTTAGAGAATTTTAATATAGTTAGTAAATTTTCTTTATGTTTAGATTTGTCATTACAATTTTTTGTCCACACTAGATTGACTTTGCTCTCCGTATATGGATCTTTGGAGATTTTAATTTTCTTTATTGATTTGATTTCTGTACGCTTTTTCTGGGGCTTCAAATCTGGCATCTCTGTTGAATCTGAAAGTTATAAAATACACTATATATCTACGATAATCCGGATACTCACTTCATGTTTATTTTTTATATAAGAATTTCGTAAGAATGTAATAAGCTTATATGTGTGGTGATGGATTAAGAATACAGAGTGTCAACACCCCTATTCAAACCAAATCAGGCCAAACCTCCTTTGGCCTGATTGGCCTATGACCAGCAGTTGACTATTAAAGGCTGATGATACTTACTAATGGATGTAGCAAGTCGAGAGACTAAACTTTTAATCTTATCCGCTCTCCAGGGCTTTTCTGTCTGACCAGTCTTCTTGCTCACATGCTTAGTTCTACTTCTTCTTGTTTCTACCTTCTTCTTCAAAGGAGATTCTTTACTTTCTGTCTTTATCTTTTCTGTTGCTATTTCGCGAGCTAGAACGTTAAAACGACAATAGCTAATGAGTAAATAATCAGATGCTATTTAAGTAGGGTTGCCATACATCCCGGTAATAAGCGCATTGTCCCGGTTTGGCAGCTAGGTGTACATGCACGCGCCGTATGCCGTATTCGGCGATAAGACCCATCATGGAGGATTAGCTTAAGAGGCAAAATGTCAGCCTCTCCTACGGCTACGACTGGCCACGGCTGTTTCGAAAAGTATCATCGCAACAGTGTCCGCAGTGACGTACACACTGCGGACACTATTGCGATGATACTGCCCTCCACACTAGTGGAGTGCTCAGAGTAGACGTAACAACGCTTAGCCATGCGGTGGCTAATGGCAAGGAAAGCCTCTCGCTAGAGACAATTGTTCTGGCCATGCATGGTTTAAAGCGAGAGTGCATGGGATTCCGCCGTTTCTTTTAGTGAGGAAGTGATGTCCGCTAAAGAGTACGCGGGAAGGGAAGGGAACGGGAGAGGACCAGTACTCTCCCGTCCCGAAGTGGCGCTAGGCCTCAGAGAGCGCAGAACGATCTCCCCAGCCTCCATGAGCGCTGGCCTGATGGTAGCAGTGAGGCTGGTCGAGTTTTTGAATTACTTTATAGTTTGCCCTTCTCTTCCCAAATGTCCTGGCCGGTTATTTAAGAGGTAAATAAACTGGACAGATTTCCACAAGAGTTTGAAGAGCAGGTAGCTGGTAACTAAGGCTACTTTTATTTATGAAAAGAATTAAGTTTGGTGCTAAGCAATTCTAGTCTGAAGCCCTTAATCCAGGGGAGAGGCGGTTTAACTCTGGCCGGGGTACTAAAGGCTGGCAAACTCAAACTCTCTTTATTTCATAAAAAAAATTAAATTGTTTGAAATCGTCTTTTATGTAGACTCTAAAGTCATAGATCAACACACACAAAAGCAACAATCTCTGTTTTGTCACCGCACTTGTGATTCTTTGAGTTGCGGCGACGCGGCCCTCGTTGCCACAGGCACTTAACATCATGTGACCCGTCTGCTCGTTTGCATATTACATAATAAAAAGGAGGTGTGATGTTCATTTATAAATACCAGAGTTTACTTACCCGCATCAGCCAAGAAGTAATCATCAGATTCATCACTGCTATCCATATTAGGTTCTTCTTTCACTACAAATGGCTTTTCATCTGTAAAACAATAAGCATGAGAATAATGATAAATTAATATTTAATAATTAACTTTCGTCTGCTATAATCTGCCATGAATATTCATGGAACTCACCTGCTTATAGCTGATTGCAAATTTACATTAAAAAAAAACTTTCGTCTGTGGCTTCGATCGTGTTAGTGTCCACTTTTCCAAGATAAAAGGATTCTAAATGCTATTCCAGACCATAATCTGTCTTTGTACCAAATATTATCCAGATCTGTTCAGTAGTTCTGGTGTTATTAAGAACAAACAGCTATCCAAACTTTCGCATTTATAATGGTATAATAGTAGTATGACTAAGATTATGCAGATCTATCATTCCAGAAATCAAACCATGCTAGGTTTGATTGACACAAAAACGATGAAGAATCAGCACTCAAATATAATTACCCATGTGATGGTATAAAATTTAATTTAAAACAAACCTTTTTCTTCTGTCACATCCTTGACTTTGTTGAGAAACTCCTTCTCAGTAATAAGGACCTGTTGCTTGAATATCAGAGAGCTGCGGAGACTTGCAATGCATGTCTCACAGATGCCACTTAAACCAGTGTCCGATACTGACAGCTGGAAAAGAATGGATTTATTTTTCATTACATTTAAAAAAAATGAGTGCTTAATGCGCCTCTGCTCACCCCTTGGGGGCTATAGGTGTGAATGTGTATTAAAAAAAAGAAAATATTACATGCCAAAAGTTTTGGTTGGCTTAACACCTTCCCACAAACATGTGGTATAGTCTGATGCAAACTTAATGGCGGCTCTGAAGTTAGCCTGAAAGTACCTCCAGTCAAGTTGACTCGACTGTACGTAGACAGGAATATGCAAAGGCATGCGTGTCGTGTGTTGCCCTGCCCCCGCTCTCCTTTACGTCCCGCCACTCTCTATAATGGTGCTCTGCGCATCGAAACTCACGTTTTTCCAACCCGCCATTAAGTTTGCATTGGACTGTACAAGTCTACTGTGTTTTAAAAACTTTTAGCCTGAGCTTAAAAACATACAGATATTTTTTTTCTATCCATAAGTGCTGTGATGAACACAAATTGTTCGCAGGGAAGGTGTTAATCAAACTTTTTTCCCGTGTATTGTAAACAACACCACTAAGCCACAGCACTGGGGTGTCGTTAAAACAAAAAAAAACAACCAATGTTGTGAAATAAAACAATTCGTTTTATGTTTCTTTTTAATGATAATGTTGAAATTAGTCAAGTTCACAGGGAGTCCTAAAACATAACAATTTAATTTATAAAAGTTGATCTGATAATTATACTATAACTATTAATTTTTTGCACTGTATCTTTGTTTCACTTCATCTGTTGTCTTTAAATTATTTCCAGAAACTTCTGCAAAAGGCTTTTAAAATAGTCATGGTTATGAAAAATAATGATATTAGAATAGAGAGATATTTATAAGGATGTGACTGAGGTGTGGCAGTGTCCTGTTTTGTTTGAAATGTTGATGTCAATAATTAACTATCTATGTTGAGTCTATCTTTAACGGATACTAGTAACTCCTTCGAGTTTGATTCATGTAATTTGTTTTGACTGGGCCTGAATAATTAATAAAAAAACTCCTGGAGCTCAGAATGATAATCTGTGGATCATCATTCATCATGATAATGGATGACTCCATTTAACATTGTAAATTGGTTCGCCACTTCTGCGTTTGTTTTTAGTTTTATTAAGCTATAATTATTTAAGACCTCTAGTCCTGTAAACACAGAAGCTATTTTTAAAAAACTTGTTTTTTTTAGATGGACCAAGAAATATCTGTGTATTATTATTTGTTATTCGTAGGGTATTATGTAGTATGTATATACTTACAACGATATTAAAGCATTCTTTCAGCATATCGGCATAAATTTCAGATGTGTTGAGCCAAGTATATCTCGTATTTAAGTTTTTATGGAGGCCCTGTTCGGCACAACAACGACACATACTAGGTTCCTCCATGTTTTTATATTTCAATTAGCACTCAATCTTATTCATTGATTTATACAAAAATCTTATTAGAATTAAAGAGAAAAGAAAATATTTTCTTTTTCTAACAAATAATTAGACTTAACAGTGTGGCTGTTCTAAAAATTCTATTTACCTAATTTTGATCACGTAAATGTCAATTGTCTTGTAAAATAAACCTGTTTTAATTTTTATCATAATCTTATTAAACTGTAGAGTATTTCAAATATTTATATAAAGAGACGAAGCTTTTCTATGCATTCTAAAACTACATGAAGACTTAGACTGCATAGAAAAGCTTCGTCTTTGAGAGTGGCTAACTAAGTTAACAACATATAAATAATTAAGGCTTGTAGAAGTTATCGAATTGGTATTAGCGAGTAAAAATCTATACAAATAAATAAAATTGGAGTGTCTGTTTGTAATATTAAAATAACCGCTTTTTACTTAATGCATATATATGTTTACACGGTACATATGCCAAAATAACATTTTTTACAATATTTGTTAGTCTGTCTTGATTTCGACGGGACTTTCACTGGCAGATAGCTGATGACATAAGGAGTAACTTAGGCTACTTTTTTTAGACTAGCTTCGCCCCGCGACATAACAACAAACGCGGGTAACACCGCGGGTCTCAGCTAGTATTTTAGTAACAGACACTCCAATTTTATTTATTGGTATAGATACAAGAATTAATGCAAAATTTTGTAGACTCCCAATATTTTAATTTTTTCTTATATATTTGATGTTTGGGACTGAGTCGTTTAGGAACAGTTTACTTGTGTTGTTACAGTAGATAAAAATCGGATTATTTTACTATCTTATTTTTACAGGATTTCAACTTTATTTCCTGTTTGATTGTAAGTTTTGTTTTATTAAAATTGATTTTTCGCGAGGTTTTAAGGTTGTTAAAAGTACCTGCATAGATATCTGCATACCTACCGTGTTTGTATACCTACTCTTTGCCTATAGAAAGCAAAAAGCAAGCAAAGCAGTATTCAAAATGGCGTATGAAGTAGAATCTTATAAGCTGTTCGTTTTCAAATAAATAGACCTATGTGTTATTAAACAGTTAATTTCCTTTTTTTGTAATAAGTTAATTGTAAAACAGATTATGTGTATGTTTTAAACCATGTTACTTTAGTGTAGTGTTGTGACGATGGAGTTTGACGAGATAGTGGTGAAGGAGAGCCCGGGGCTATGCCGGTGCTGTCTTTCGGAAGGATGCTACAAGGACTTGGGGTCCGAGTACACTTGGATGAATGAGACTGAGGTTTATGCTGATATGCTGCTCGAATGCTTTGATATCAGCGTAAGTATTCATAATTCATAACATTTTATAAAATCAATAACTATCTGACAGTTTTGTGTGATTACCACTGCAGCTGCGCATTCATCAAATTATAAATAGTGTCGCTACTGTACTATAAGATGTGCATGTAAATTGATTTTCTATGTCTCATTCGTTTTTTATGCGGAATTTAACATTCTGACTTTTAGGGTCCTAACTCCTCGGAAAAGTTATTGGTAGATAGACACCAGTCATTGTTAATTTCGCTTGGCTTTATAAAGCTATATAATGTATATAAGCTTAAAGTATTCATAATATACTCTACTTTTACACTATCAATTTGATAGAAATTTCCTTTGTGATGCAACCGTTTTTCTTTAATTTATTTTTTAAAGGTTTTTAGCTTAGAAGTCGCCGCACTATTATTATCTTGTGAAACATTAAAAAGGTTGTCAAAATATGCATTATCAATATTTTTCTTCATTTTATTTGTCTGCAATGTATAGAAAAAATTTAATTACTGGGTGACCTGCGCAACGACTGCACGGATGGTGTAGTGGTTTAAGCGGTCGCCACGCCGCTTACTTCTACGCTAAGTGTAGTCGGTTCGATCCCCACATGGGACGACACTTTGTGTAATCCACAAATTGTTGTTCTGCCTATTTATCGTAACCTGTATCCTCCCTCAATGAAAGGGCTCCAATAGTAAAATAATTTTTCAATTTGAACCTGTAGTTTAATGAGATTACCCAAACATAAAGATTCACAAACTTTACCCCTTTACAATATTAGTATAGATCTCTGTCTTGTTCAGTCACTAACTTTTCATATTATAAGATTTTTAAAAAAAACCTGTTCAATTTTTTTCTAAATTTTATTTTATACAAACCTTCTACTGACAAAAACAAACAAAAAAAATAGAATTATCCAATTTGGTGCAGTCGTTCCAAAGTTATCCCTGCACATACATTTCAGCAATTAATTTTTATTTGTTTTGCCAGGTCAACTATCTATATAATTAAAACTGCGATTAAAAATGGGGGGTGGTGTTTGGAGGGTGGAAAAAAAATACTTTACCACCTATTCTCATACCTACCAAATATACAAAAAATTCATTAGATTCCATCGAGCCCTTTTGGAGCAATGTGACCACAAACACCATGACATGAGATATTTATAGGTGATTCAAATTATAAATTAACAGACAACATAAGTTTTGAAAACTAATTTCCTTTGGTACTAGGAATTATATTTTTGTTAATAGTACATCGTAATGCAAGTATAGAAGACTTACTTTGCAAATTATTCAGATAAATAGAGACGGTTGTGTGGGTGACGGATTAAGAATACAGAGCGTCACCACCCCTATTCATCCCTTGGGTGTCGTAAGAGCCAACTAAGGGAGTAAACTACACAGAACAACAACACTGCAAAGAGGAGGAAAACTTGACACAAACCTTATACCAACCCGGCGTGGTATAGTAGGCCAAAACCTCCTTTGTAAGGAGAGCCCTACATATGTCCAGCAGTGGACTATTAAAGGCTGTTGATGATGATGAGAGACTTAGTGCAATTTAGGTTGAACATCACCAATTTAGCTTTTATATTAATATTTGTCTAGAAATTGCTCTATTGTGTTACTTTTGTTTATCTCTTCTGATTGTATTAGAATCGGCTTTAAATCTATACCAATAGGTAAATTTAAATAACAATATATTTTATTTGCATAAACATGTGTACATTAAAGATGTCAATAATATTCCTTGATCAACATGTTTGACCGTTACCAGGGTACATATATAAAGTGGTTATTACGTATAATATAAAATGAATTTAATAACATTAAAATCATAAACAGCGACAAACAATTACAATGAAAGGACTCGAATATCATGATTATAGGCATATATTATTAACTGTTAACGGTCCATGTTGTTGCATTTAACATAAAATATTCAAAAAAATATATTGACACCATACAGTAATCCATCAACATACAAAAAAAGGAAAAAAGGGAATTAAAATATTCTGTAACTTAGCTAATATGAAGATAGAAGATATCTGATACTATTATAGTCATAAAGTGTTGTCATTCAAGAAATCCTCTAGCTTATAATAACATCATCATCATCAACAGCCTTTAATAGTCCACTGCTGGACATAGGCCTCCGATTGGAAAGGAGATTTTGGCCTACTATAAGATGCTGGCCAGACGAGTTGGTATAGAGTTTTGTTTCAAGTTTTCCTTCTCTTTAGCTAGTTTATTTTGCTCCCTTAGTCGGCTCTTACGACACTCATGGAATGAATAGGGGTGGTGACACTTTGTGTTCTTAAACTGTCACCACACGGTCGATTATAATAACAACTTTCAGCTAATAATGTTTAAAGCTGATAAAAATCTCTGGCACTACTGGTTTGAATAATTATTATTTTTAAGTAGTGTTGGAATGAAAAATGTCACTAAAACAGAAAAGAAATAAATATTTTGAGAGACTCAGATAAAATTGGGCAGTAGGTACAGCAGTTGGCTAGTACTGAACATTTTATTAGAACCAACCAGTAACTGTTCCTATTACTAGTAACTTTGTGTAACGAAAATAATTTGGAATAATCCCAGTTTAGGTAAAATCTAACTAACTGCTACGGTGGTGGTGCAGTGGTAGCATATGCAGCTGAAGTCCCGGGTTCAATTTCGGGTCGGACCTGAGGCGCTGGCCGGACTAAACGGCCACGGCGCGCATCTTTGGTTACATTCGTGACACGAACGAGTTCATTCATACCAGTGGCATTTAAGATTATATATTTACAAAAAAAAGTACATATACAAGTACCGTCAAACAGGGTCAAGCGGGACGGTTTTTATCTGTTCGCATGTATTTATCAACTTATTCATTTAAATTGAGTATTTCTTGTGGCACCAAAGCTCTAATTAAGTGCATTAGGTAATAGAGGACAAGAGGTACGACATAATGGGGAAAAACTTGTATAAATAGGTGGGAATCTAATTAAATATTGACACTAGCTGCGCCCCGCGGTTTTTTTTTATGGAATAGGGGACAAACGAGCAGACTGGTCACCTGATGGGAAGCAGCACGAACGCATGCAACTCAGGAGTCACCATCGCGTTGCCAGCCTTTGAGGCAGGAGTACGCTCTTTTATTGAAGGTTTGAAGGTCGTATCCGTCCGGAAATGCCGCAGCCGATAACTTGTTCCACAGGTTGGCAGTGCGAGGCAAAAAGGGTATTGAAAGATGATATGATGACCTTACTCATCCATTGAAAACACTACATTTTTTCGGGATAAAAAGTAGCTCATGAGTTCAAAGTCAAACACCATTTTATTTGCAAGTAGATAACCATAACCTACCAAGACTGATGACTAAAAACCAATTCAGCACCGTTTGGTGTTTTGTTTGCAAGGAAAACCATATCCTATGGGGGAAAGTTGAAAAAGTGCCCAGTTGTATAGTGAAAATATGGGTCGCTGGCCTACGAAAATCTACGATATGAACATAGCTGTTGTAGACGGAGTGAATAGTTCCGAGTTAAAATATTAAAATACTTTGATTATCTGAAAGTTTTTATACGTTGATTTATTTTCTGTAAAACCCATTGACTATTTTCGCAGTCTAGTACACAGTGTCTAATTAAATTGTTATTTAAGCCTATAAAAATTTATCCTAGGCTACCGCAGCGCCACTATTATTGGACGCGTTTTTACGGACACTTCAAACAAAGATATGGTTCTCCTTGCCTCTACCCTCCATTGTTTGTTGATAGATTTGGGGGGTAAACGAGCAGACGGGTCACCTGATGGTAAGTGTTTACCATCGTTTTTGTGTACCGGTTTTCTGTGAGGGCGCCTGCTGAACTATGGCTCTCCCATGACTTTGTTTGAAGTTAACGCGTTAAATATAAATAAACTTCACAGAATTATGAGAAGAAAACACACAGGATCTAAATAGGACTTTTTGCACTGGCGGACAAAAAATCAAGCAAAAGAAAATCTGTGATTTGATGCAAATAGAACGTGTTAGGATGCATAGAGTTAATATAATAAAGGGAGCGAAATGTATATTCCTCTGTAAGTGGTAGCGTACGACCGTTAGACACAGCGAAGACTATTGTTTTGGGCTTGCATCTCTCTCCTCTGCATCTGCACTGATTGACTGATACTGAAGAGGGCATTTAAAATAGTCAATCAGTGACATGAGCAGAGAGATGCAAGACCAAAAAAAAACTGCTTTCTCTCTCTACCAGCCATATGCGTCGGGAATCCTCGTGGTGAAATATAGCTATTCGGACGAGATCTTAGTTTTTTTTTAGAGATCGAATAGGTTTTCGGAATCTGGGACAATAAGGGCTCATTACATGGGACAATTACCGAGAGATTCTCGGATTTTCTGAGCATCTGGCAAGCCTAGATTGAACAAATTTATCTGCCGCATATTCCTTTACACCGTATTTACAGAATATTTATGTGTGTATTTTAAATGAGATTATTTTCATCAGATAACACAGCACAATGAAGGCCCCAATGGACCCAACCGTCTTATTTGTGAAGTATGCATCACACGTCTTCGAGATGCTTGCAATTTCAAGAAGCAAGTGATGGACTCGGAGAAGAAGTTTATTGACATGATGGGTCGAGGCGAATTTAGGCCCAAAAGTAAGATTATATACATAACTTATTGTGATTTTTTATGTAATTTTAATTTATTTTGCCTAGTTTACAAGCTTGCAGAAGCTTGGCAAACGTCCACATGCTCCAAGCCTTTACAAACGCTTGGATTCCATTTACACGCTTGCGAGTGTGTTAGTGTTTTCCGGACAGGCTAACATAAAAGACGTGGACATATTTTTATTCAAAATGTAAACGACGTAAAGTAAACAAAAACGAAATCCTATAGTCCTACTGCTAAACTAAACTGCTCAACCAGTAGAGCATTGAGACTTTGTTGCTGCCTGACTGCTCAATTAATATCAAATGGAGCTGTGGGCAACAAGCACTTGTGAATATGTAAATACGTCGCAAACGCTTGCCGTAAGGTTCCTTTGATTTGTGTTCAATAACCGACACAAGTCCCGAGCGACGACAAGCTCACGCAAGACGAGCCAAACACCCCGTTTACACGCTTGGCAAGCGTGCAATCGGCCTAAATGAGGCAATCGTAGATAGCCCGAGGTACGTCGGGGTAACAGGGATTTCCTACCTAGGGTACACCTGGTTCCTAGGGTACCCGAGACGGCGTGCGTTGGTCGGTTCGAGTCCGCACAGAACAAAAAGAAGGCTGTGTGTGAGATGTATCAAGCTCTTATAAAAAAAAAACTTTCTTTAAATTATTTTATTATATTGCAGTGCTTATCTACCAAGCACAAATGAAATCTGAGAATCCGATAGTTGAGGCACCTGCTGAGGAGACGGAAGTGGAATACTTGGATGATGACATAGACTTTGCTGATGGTAAGGATTATAAATATCCTATTAATAACCATAAAAACTTTTTTCAAACTAACCATATGGCCTGTGTATGTAGTGTTGTAACCATAAAGAATAAGTATTGAATAGATGATGCTGTTCTTGTTTCTATAGAGCTCTGGATAGGTTTGCAATACTATACTTAATGGGCTTATGACAGGTACTCGTGTTAGCCATTCCCTGCACTTTCCTCTTTTTTATCATACTTCATTCTTAAGGGTTGCATTTGTACTTTAGCGTTAACATGAATTGAACTTTAAGCATCTGTGTTTAAATTTCTTGAACTGAAGAAAGCCAAACATCGCTACGAACATTATCACGATCATTCTAGCGGAGATCTTTTATGGGTCGGTAAAAACCATTCAACTTTTGGTGTCGTTTCTACTGGGGAATACGGATAGGGGGCGTAAGTTAGGATAGTGCATATAGCAGGTCTCTGATGAGGAGCTGGATGTCTGCCCTGTAATGTGAAAGAGAGTCGCCTCTTCGCCACCTAGGGCAAATACTTTTGCGATCATCTCGGTATCTCTGTGTTATTTATCTATAATTTGTATATGTATGTATTTAGATTTATTTAAGTATGTTTATCAGCAGTCTGCTTTCCATAGCACAGGTTCTGCTTAATTTAAGATCAAATTGCCGTGTGTGAGATGTGTGAAGTTGTAAAAAAAAAGAACTTGTTTAATTATATTCCAGACGCAGAAGAATTGAAAGACGAATCAGAGCCTACAGTCTCAGACATCACAGTTAGTTCTCTACCTATAAAGGGCAAGAGAGGCAGGCCCAAGAAGACTGTTGTTAAAACTGAGAAGAAGGCCAAAGTCTCCAAGGTGGAGGAGAAGCCCAAGAGTTCAAAGGCTGTTGCTAAAGGTAGGTGTTTGCTTTTTAAAAGGGAGATGGTGGAAGGTGTGGTGATTTTTTGATTTTCAATTTGGTTCAATAAGTTTTTAACATCAAATATTTTAATATTGATTAATTAATAGTACATACAACATATATGGCTTACTTTCATTATAGTTTTATTACAGTATGTTGATATACTATGATGTATATAAAAAAACAACAGGTGTGCAATTTCCTTTGTACATCATTTCATCGATAACGATTTCTCCAAAAATGTGCATGTTATCGATGCCGCACGTCACGCGGATCACGCGTGGTGTCTTATCCTACTGACTGTCAGTTAGCGGACGCCAACGTTTACTTTTTATATATTACACAATTCTCTGATGTCATAAGGATGGGGATATTTTATTTCTAATATAACACGGCGAGTAGTTTAAACTGGTTTATATTTACTAGGCTTCGTATTCAGGCGATTTCGCGGATAGATTTATGTAAATAATTCAATATTCTGTTTATACTGTTTATACTATATATAGTTTTTTTAAGACAGAAAATCATCACACGTTCCACTAATTATGTTCGTTGTTGTGTTTTTTTCTGACCTAAATTCATTAATCTATATTTCTTTTTTACTTTTTATTCTTTTCATCTTTAAATACTATTTTTGATAACAATAAATATCAAACTTATTATAGCGTCGGAAGGAATCTCAACATATTACGTTAAGTATTATTTTTAAATGCTTTTATTTATTACTTGATTCGACAATTGACTAAATAAATTTATGTAACTATCTCTTATTCATTCTTCTGAAAGTAGCTGGAAACTTATTCTTTACCGGGAATAATGGTCTCTGATTCAAGAGTACCTGTGATATATAGAAATAATTGCGAATACTTAAACCTGAAAATAATGTGAAGATATGTACAAAATGAAAGAAATGTTCACTATAGGAGTTTAAAACACAAGTTTTTCAATATCTTTAGTGACATTTTAAGTAATTTATCTGACACTAAAAGGCCGATATACCGTTGCAATAGACCCACTGCTAAGGGTGAAATGCCTTGTGTACCTACTTGTCATATCTGAGAATCCCAAAAATAATTTTATTCTTATAACGAAACAAAATTACGTAATTTTCATCCTTCTCTTACTTAGACGCGATTACATACTATACATTTATTAAGTTTTCTTTCTTGTTGTAAATCTCCGGTTCTAATATCCTTAGGAATACTCGTATGCACTTTTTCTTCCATTTCAGCTTTTGCCCACTTTAATTGGTTTAAGTAGGAAAAATCTAAACATTTAACTTAATGCTGCTAAGTAGCGAGATTTCATTGCTAAGTGTTGTACACCTAATATACACTAATTTCTAAATACTGTCTTAATATTTTTACAAAAAGAAAATATTATTATTTTAATAAAGCTATTTGTCGTATACCTGTACCATAGAAAATATAAAACTTATTCTGCCAAAGACAAAGACTTAAAAACTCAAAAATGACAACAGTAAATGGCAATGACGTTTGACAGATGACATTTGACATAAAATTGAACGATTAAAGCTTAAAGCTTGTCCGTGTGGTGACGGATTAAGAATACGAAGTGTCGCCACCCCTATTCATCCCGTGGGTGTCGTAAGAGGCGACTAAGGGAGCAAACTACGCAGGAAAACAGCACTGCAAAGAGAAGAAAAACTTGACACAAACCCTATACCAACACGTCTAGCCAGCGTGGCATAGTAGGCCAAAACCTCCTTTCTAAGGAGATGCCTATGTGTCCAGCAGTACACTATTAAAGGCTGCCGATGATGATGATCAGAATATTTGGCCATAAAAGGAGATTTTTCACAGTCCACTGCTGGACATGCAGTGGACTATAAAAGGCTGTTGATGTGATGTGAAAGCTCATAACTTTGTTAAATCATTCACTCAACCGACAAGTTGTTTTCGCTTGTCAAAAAGACACGAACTAGGACAATAACTTTTATTAGGAAGTGTGTAATAAATAATTTGGAATTCATTATTTGAATTAACTCTAATTAACACTTGAGAGGGCAAAGGCCCTGAAAGATATTTGAATTCTAGTAAAAAAAACTGTTCGATTAGAAGCAAATTACTGTTGAAGTAACCTAGAGTGTATCAGAAGACTCACAGATTGATTTAGGAGTAGGATTGGCGGTTAGTGACGTCACTGGTTCTCAATAACTTAGTACGTCACGATGTAAATGAAGTGTCGAGACATGATTATGACTACTTTTGTTTGTCAACTAAAAAGTAAGAAGATGAAAAAGTGAAGTAATTATAAATAAAAAATGAATTTTATCATCTTTTTTAAATTGTTAAGGAATTTTCTATTTGGAATGGATTCCAAACGGAAAATTCCTTTAGAAATCAGAAAGCTGATGATTTTTGGATGGTTAAATAGATTATATGATGTCGGGATAATTAAACGCTAACGCTACTCAATTTAAGGACATCGTTAAATCTCATGCTAAACATATTTTTAGAACAGTAACAAAGGATACAAATAAAGTTGACCTTTTTTTGTAGTCATCAGTTTATACTTTTGTTAATATTTCTTGAAGTTTGTAAACAATAATGACACATGGAAAACTTAACCTTTTGCGCCTTATCGCTAAAGCTTAGACGAATACGCCCACCACTTCGCAGCTGTTACGAACAAAAGACAATCTTGATTGTTTCCACATGGATGCGTAATAAGTGTAAATACGAATAACGATAATATTTAAAGACACTGTCTACCTTTTCTGAATCAAAGCAAAAGAAAATCATTCACTAAAATCTAGATCTACTATCTACTTCTACATATCTCAAAAAGAATTGCAAATTGTGCAACGAAGAAGTGGTGAAAAGGCGTAGATTTCTCATAGACTATTTCAATTTTTAGGTGAGAAGCGCGCAGAGGCTGCGAGTAAGTCCTCGATGTCATCGACAATGCGCAACAAACTTATGAAGAGAAACGTTATTATCGTTCTAGAAAATTCTACAGCCTTACCATTCAAATGGCAAAGGCAAAACTACCTTTGTTTCTTTTGCCATCTTACTTTTAAAGACACCGAACTACTCAAAGAACATACGAAAAATGAACACCAAAAGTCTAACATAAAAGCAGCCGTTGCTTATTTAAGAAGAGATGAGCGAGTCAAAATTGACGTGTCTGTGTTACAATGCCGGATCTGCGACCAAAAATTTGACGATATATACAAGCTTATAGACCATATAAAAGTCACTCACAACAAAGTCGTCATGGAAGAATATGGGTTTGGTTTAATACCGTACAATTTACATAACGACGTATTCCATTGCGCGATTTGTAAAGAAGAGTTTCAATACTTTGTTAAGTTAAACCAGCATATGAACGAACATTTCGGAAACTACATGTGCGAATCGTGCGGCAAATCATTTTTGAGTCAAGAGCGTTTACGGTGTCATTCGTTGACGCACGGGTCTAGGTTCCGCTGCAATGTATGCCTGGAAACTTTTAACTCGTTAACTCAAAAGAACAGTCACGAATCCAAAATTCACAATAAAGACAAACTTCTCAAATGTTTCTTCTGCCCTGAAACTTTCACTAATTATAATCAAAGGAAAAAACATCATAACATAACACATGACATTAAAGTACCGGAGTTCAATTGCCCTGTTTGCGGCAAAGTGTTTCAAATTATGAGCAAAATGAAGGTACATTTAAAAGAAGTACATATTAGAGAGAAGAACTTTGGGTGCAATATGTGCGATCAGAAGTTCTTCTCTAGGACACACGTTCAGAAGCATATGATTAAACATTTTGGGGAGAGGGTGCATCAGTGTGAGATATGTAAGAAGTCGTATGCCAGGAAGCAGACTTTACGAGACCATATGCGCATCCATAATAATGATAAGAGGTATATATGTGCCGTGTGCAGTCAGAGTTTCGTTCAAAATAACAGTCTGAGACTTCATATAAAGGTCCACCATCCAGATGCTGTGAACGCGTGATATTTCAAATTTGATTGTGAACTTTAGAAGACGATTTTCTGGAATTGTCTCTTTGTAATTATCATTGAATTGAACTTCTAAAAAGTGGAATTTAAGGTTCTCGCGAGTTGTGTTGCGAAGAATTATTAGCCTAAAAGTGCATGATTCAGCATACATCACAGTAGGTTTTTGTTCTATTGAGAAAGCACCTCCATTTTAAATCAAATTTGAGTTAAACAACACTTTATCGTAGCGACGTAGCCTTTTTTCTCATCAGAGGCCCCACGCCATAGAGATGTCTGCATCACAAAGCAACATCAGTATTACGCGTTATAATGGATACACAAACAAAATAATGCAGATTTGGTTTAAAAATATAGTATGACTAATGTATATATAGAACGAACGTTTATTCTTTTACAATACATTAAATGAAAGAAGTGAATATGGTTAAGCTTGTAGTTTTATTATTAAACCTAATAGTGTTACCTCGTTTTCATTTAACTTTACTACAAGGTAAAAAGGCTAACTTATCGGGTACTCAGGCGGCCAGAACGAGATGTCCACAAGACCGCGTCGCTTTCGGCGCTCGATGCTAAAACATTCCAGCGTTCGCACTGCGTTAGCGTCCCGTCCCGCCCCGTTTGACGTCTGTCCTAAGCTTAACTAGAAAACAAATAATTATTACATCTTATTCCACTTACGTCTACGACCATACAATAAATACCTAACATACCGCAAGCGATAATTTCGTTTGCGCTATTTTAGAACCGATCGACCGGATACGACTTCAAAGTGTCCAAGAGCGTTGGTAGTCACTTACTATCACATAATAAATATGCTATGTTATGTTATAGTACCTTATCAGGACTCATGAAGTTCGAGAGAATGAAGAGACGATGAGACGACTTGGATTCGTAAACAACTTTAAATGTACCCTACATTATGTTACTGTAAAAAAAAACAAATGGTTTATCTGTTGATCAAGTAGAAATTGTTAGAAAATTTTGTTTGTTAATATTATGGGTACATTTACAGTAGTTCAATCTCTTTTCAGATGTTAAACCGAGGAAATACAAAGGCTGCGAATCATCTTCTATGCGCAGGCGCCGAAATCTTCAAATTTTATTCAACAATACAACAATAATACCTTTTAAATGGCGAGGCAAATACTTATGCTTTTATTGTAGCAAAGATATTGCCGAATATTCAGAATTAAGAAAGCATACGAAGTCCCACGGGAATTGCTCCACTCGGGACCATTCTTTGAAAGTGTTGAAGGGTGGGCAGAATATGGAGATCAAAATTGATGTCTCCGACATTGCCTGTGAAATTTGTTCTGAACCATTTCCCTCTTTCGATGAAATCATCAACCATTTACATATTAAGCATAAACTTGAATATGACAAATCAGTAGAAATGGCCATAGAGGAATATAGATTAGTTGATCTCAATTGTATAGTCTGTGAGGAAAAGTTTACGTATTTTGGTTATTTAGTATCTCACGTTAATACAAATCATCCTAAAAATTGTCTTATTTGCGATAAGTGCAATCAAAAGTTTAATAAAAAGCGAGACTTGTTCTCTCATATGAAAAATTATCATAGGGATGGAGGATATCAATGTGAGATGTGTCCTCAAGTATTTAGTTCTCTAAACATATTAAGAAAACACAGGAATAATAGACATTTAACTAGGTGTAACATTTGTCATCTCAAGCTACCCTCATCTGCTTTAAAACAAAAGCACATGGAGTTAGAGCACCCGGACGACGGCTCTCTTCAATGTGACAATTGTTTCAAAGAGTTTCATACAAAACAAGGCCTTAGGATGCACAACAGAAAGTGCAAAGGGGAGGGTATTTTCGAATTTGCAATAAAAAAAGAAGAATATGTCGCTATGGATATAGATCAAAATTACGACGATCAAGTGAAGCGACCTAGCGTTAAACAAATTCGAGAAAATATAGTCATTGTAATTAATATGTCCACGGCGATTCCATTCAATTTTTATAAAAATAAATTTAACTGTTTTTACTGTTCGAAAGACTTCGCAGATTCAGACTTAATGAGGGAACACACTGTATTAGAACACCCTGTGTGTGACGTTAAACAAAAATGCATTCGGAAATGTAGGGAATCAGTTGCTTGTGTCAAAATTGACGTTTCCTCTTTAGCTTGTAAAGTATGTTTTGAGTCTATAAGCGATTTGGATGACTTACTCGACCACTTAATTGCTAAACACAACGCAAACTATGATAAGTCAATTACAACATGTCTCCAGCCCTATAGACTCATCAAAGATCACATGGCGTGTCCAAATTGTCCAGGAGAAGTCTTCCGATTTTTCGGTACACTCCTGAAACATATGAACAATAAACACACGAACAATAACATAATTTGCGTGTATTGCGGTCAAACTTTCCGCCGGGATCAAAATCTTCGCGTACATATATGGAGACACCACCGAGATGGCAGGTTCAAATGTAATATTTGCGGTGCTGAGTGCAATATTCCATCAAGACTATATATGCACATGGCTAGAGCTCATGGTGTTAAGGCAGCTAAGTGTCCAAAATGCCCGGAAAGCTTCGCTACTCAGTATTTGCGTCAGAAACATTTGATAGAAGCCCACGATTGTGGACACAAATGCTCGTATTGCGGAAAACTATTTACACGGAATTCATTTATGAGGGATCATGTGAGAAGAACGCACCTCAAGGAGAAAAATGTTGAATGTTCTATTTGTAATATGAAGTTTTTCAACAATATTCTCCTGAGAAGGCATATGGTGAAACACAGTGGGGAGAAAAATTTTCATTGCGATATTTGCGGCGAAAGATTCTTCTGGAGGAAGAGTTTGAGGACGCATATGACTAGGCATAGTAAACATCTGAACCCTGTACAGATTTAGTTGCATATATAAAAGCTTAAAGGCCACTCAGAAGCTAAGAATTGTAGCTCATACTAGCTGTAATTACTGAAAACTCAAAAGGTTTTACTTTAGTCTTCTTTTATTCCTCATCGAAATGACAGTGACAATGTTCACAAAATTCACTTTAAAGGTACAGTACTTCAGTTAACTAAAACCTTTTTAAAGTATTTTAACTGTTCCTTTGACTCACTTTTTACGTTCGCGTGACAGCCGTTCTATCACTCGGGAATAGTATACTTGTTTTAAATTGAATTCTATATTTTCCCCCTGACAGCGTGTATTCCAAACGTGTTTCCTTACTATGTTGTTGTTTTATTCGTCTTTTTTAATTTCTGTGTAAACCGTGAACATCATAGTTCAGTTTTATAAATAATTAGTGAAAGGAACTTTGCGTTTCTTTCAAGCCCAATTAGATTCATCTCCAAAAGAAGTGATCTAGGAGTAAAGCGACCTATTGTGCTAGTTGCAAGCACTGAACTGCTGGAGTGCACTGAGTTTCATTTATTATTACATCATACAGTATATTCAGGAATTATGCCGATCCATTTTGTTAAAAGACAATTAAAAAAAAAGACTAATTTAATATCATAAGCTTAAAGAACAAACCACTTTTTTTTATTCCAATTATTGTGCCCTTTATTTTCTTTTTATTACGTTATCTCTAACTCCTTTTGTTTTGTGCGCTAATATTTTTATTGTTTAGTAAACCTTATGAAGTTTACCATAGTTTTGTGACCTTTCAGATCAATCTTTGACGTTCCAAACAGAACTATCACTTCAGCTATCACCGAACGAATGGGACACTTATGTTTAATGACATAAAATGCAATAATTTATTGATTGGCATTAAACCTTAGTGTTCTCCATGTATTGCAACTTCTTAATTAAGTTGGCAAATTTAAGAAAATTTTGACCTTAATTTGCATAGGAAGAACATGGTGAACAAATGAACTTGAAAACCTCCTTGCACTATCTTTGTTGCTTGTGAAATACAATAGAGAAAATTTCTTTTCAGGTTCCGAAAGAGAGCCACCAAAGAAAAGTGATAATTATGTAAGGAGGAAGAACCTGCTTACTCTATTCAACAACACCACATTGATACCTTTTAAATGGCGAGGCAAATACCTGTGCTTCTATTGTGGAAATGAAGTTGGTAGTTATAAGCGACTACGAAAGCACACGTACAACCACGGCCTCTGTTCCGACAATGACAAAGCCATTAGACTCGTGAAATCGGTTGATTCAGAAATTAAAATTGACGTTTCATATATAAAATGCAAATTATGCTGCCAGTCTTTTCTAGATCTGGATAATATTGTGAACCATTTGATCTCAACACATGATTTATCCTTCAATAAAGATGCTAAATTAACAATAACTACGTATAGACTTTTAGACTTGCAATGCTTGCTTTGCGACGAACAATTTGACTATTTTCAGAAACTTGTTAGTCACATGAACACGTCTCATCCTGACAACTCTTTCTTGTGTACGGAATGTGATCAAATGTTCAACAAAATGCGTGATTTGCGCACTCATATGAGAAATTACCACAAAAAAGAATATATATGCGTTACGTGCAATGGAACGTTCACTTCCCACGTAGCATTGAGATTTCATAGGCTACATTCTCATCCATCTAGCTGTTACATATGTTTCCAAACTTTCTCTTCAGAGATGAAACGAATCAATCATATGAAAAATGAACATACTGGTGATCAAGTCGAATGTGGATATTGTAAACAACTTTTGCCAAATACTAATGCTGTGTTACGACACGGTGCCAAATGTACTGCTAAAAAAGATCCTGCTCTAGAAACTATTGTTGTGGATGATGAAGAAAAGAAAGTAGCTACAAAGGATCTTAGGAATAGCATCGCTACCATCATAAATATGTCCACTGCGATACCGTTTAAATTTTTCATAAAATTCAGATGTTTCTACTGCTCTAAAGATTTTTCCAACTGCGATGGCTTAAAGGAACACACAGTCATGCAGCATCCTCAATGTAACGTAGGTGACAAGTGCATGAAACTCCGCAACAGATATGACGGCAACAAAATCAAAATTGATATTGCATCTCTTTCTTGCAAGCTGTGTTACGAACCATTGCTAGACTTAGACACTTTAATTGAACATTTGACGACTGAACACAAGATTCAATTTAATAAGGCTGTCGAAAGTCACCTGCAGTCATTTAAATTAATAAAGAACAACTACTCATGCCCCCAATGCGACGAGGTTTTCAGATATTTCACTGTACTTCTTAAACACATGAGTAAGAGTCACACTGGTAATAAGTACATTTGCGTGTTCTGCGGCCAATCGTTCAGAACTTACCCCAATCTTCGCTCTCACGTCAAAAGACGTCACAAAGTGTCTACTACCACGTACGAATGTAACAATTGTGACTTAATTTTCACATCGTGCGCCAGCCTAAAACTGCATTTGGGAAAAGACCACGATGTGAAAATGTTCAAATGCATCGATTGCCAGGATAAGTTTTCTACCCAATACTGGTTGCAACGCCACATGCTTGTTGTACACGGTGAGGGATACAAATGCACTTATTGTGATAAGGCTTTTATTAAAAACTCCTTCCTGGTAAATCATGTGCGGCGATTGCACCTAAAAGAAAGGAATGTTAAATGCAAGGTATGCTCTGAAAAGTTCTTCGATCGGCAAAGACTGAAGATGCACATGGTTAAGCACGTTGGAGAAAGAAATTTCCATTGCGATATTTGCTCGAAAAGGTTTCTGTGGAAGCGCAATCTTAAGGCCCATATTGCTTCACATGCGAGAAACGCAAACGCTCAAACTGGCATCACCTAACAATTAATGATCTTTGTATTTATGCTGTTGCTTCTCTGTTCCATATTTTTTTTCCAATCCATGGATTATAATTTTGGAAATTGGGGAATTTCCCAAATACGTTTTCTTCCGAAGATTACTGTTGAAAATCCTCCAGCGCCCTTCAATGGAACTTTTTCATAAGAGGGGATTTTTTTTTATCACTTCAGTGTGCTTCCGTTTTAGGCTAACATAAATCAGACTATAGCCTCTTAAATTATTCGCATGTCCAGTTACTGTATTAATTCATAAGTACTGCATTTATCTAAGAACAACTATGACTAACCAACGCTGATGATACTAGACGTAAAATAATAACCGCAATAACCACGTTTATAGAGGTATATTCATATAGCAAGGAACATTTCTTTTCAGATGAATTGCCAGGCCCGTACGAAGGCTGTACCTCTGAAAGGAGAAGGAAAAATCTGAAAATACTCTTTGACCACACTTCAATAATGCCTTTCAAATGGCGGGGCAAATACCTTTGCTTCTATTGCGGAAAGAACTATACAGAATACCCAGAATTTAAAAAGCATACAAAATCTCATGGCCTATGTAACACTCAAGATTATTCTCTAAAGTTAATCAAAGGCAATAATATAGAGATTAAAATCGATGTTTCGGAAATCGTTTGTGATATATGTAGTGAAACATTTAATCGATTTGAAGAAATCATCGATCATTTGATAGGTAAACACCAGTTGGAATACAACAAAAGTATTGATGTGCCATACCAGGAGTATCGATTAGTCGATTTTAAGTGTCTTCATTGCGAAGAACGATTTTCTTACTTCGGTTACTTAGTAACGCACGTTAATAACATGCATCCGCAAAACTGTTTTATTTGCGATGATTGTGGTGGTCGTTTTAATAAAAAGAGGGACTTAACTATTCATATACGGAATTATCACCGATTAGGAGGGTATCCATGTAATCTGTGCTTGCAAAGTTTTGACACTTATCAGTCTTTGCGAAGACATCAGAACAATACACATTATAGGCAATGCAAAAGTTGCGGTTCAAAGTTTGCGTCTCTATCGCTTTTGCAGAAGCATTTAAAATCTGAACATTTTCACGATGACGGTAATTTAAAGTGCCGTTACTGCTCTAAAGTGTTCCATTCATCTATAGGCTTAAAGCAGCACACAAGCAAGTGTAAAGTAAAAATGATTTCACAAGCGGAGCCAGAATCTTTCCTAGAAGATAATATGGAACCGAGAAAGAAGCAAAATATACTACAAATTCGCCAAAATATACAATGTGTATTAAATATGTCGACGGCAGTTCCTTTTAAATTCTTCTCCAAATACTCCTGTTTTTATTGCTCAAAGAAATTCTTTGATTTCGACGATTTACGACAGCATACGAGCGTTGAACATCCAGTATGTGACCTGAAACAGAAGTGCATGAAGAAGTGTAAGGGAGAAAGAATAAACGTTAAGATTGATATCTCAGCTTTAGCGTGCAAAGTGTGTTGTCTTCCAGTTGTAGATTTAGAAGCTTTAATCACGCATTTAATAGATGAACACAAAGCGAACTATGATAAGACAATAACCGGATGCCTTGAACCTTTTCGGATCATCAAAGATAATATACCCTGTCCAATATGTCCCGATAAGGTGTTCCGATACTTCGGGATTCTATTACGTCACGTGAATGCAGAACATAGTAACAATAATAGGATTTGTGACTTCTGCGGCCGAAGTTTCAGGAATGCGGCTAATTTGAATGTTCACATAACATATTCACATACAGGATCGTGTGAGTGTGATGTCTGTGGTATTAAATACAAAAATCAATGGTGTCTAGCTAGGCATAGAGCTAAATGCCACAACGCGAAGGATCATAAATGTCCAAAATGCCCAGAGACTTTTAATTCACAGTATCATAAACAGAAACATCTGATAAAAATGCATGATATAGGCCATAAATGTGATTACTGCGATAAAATGTTCACGAGGAATTCTTTCATGAAGGATCATGTTAGACGAATTCATTTAAAGGAGAAAAACGTACCTTGTTCTATTTGTAACGAGAAATTCTTTGATAACTATCTTTTAAGGATGCATATGGTTAAGCATGAGGGTGATAGGAAGTTCTGTTGTTCCGTATGTGGTAAGGCGTTCTTAAGAAGGAGTAATTTGGCTTCACATATGGAAATGCATAAAAAATATGGTCATGTTCAGTTGCAAATTTGAGTGTCAATTTTTTGTATTATACCCGTTCTGACCCGAAGTGTGCTGATCGTGTCTGTCGATATTATGATGACAGTTTATCAGGTGACAATCATTGAACTGTATAATTGGTAATTGGTTGTCCAAATCTTTAAAAATCCTCATGAGACTTGTAAAGTAGTCATATAAATGGTTACGGAAAGTTCAAACCAAGATTTAAAAACAAAAATGACTACCCTCTTAGTTTTTTTTATAATATACAAATCAAACTTTCTATTTCATTCACAACTACCCTCGATTATATTTCATATTTGAATCTCGTCTAAATAAAATTCGAGTGAACTACTATCGCTTATTTAGGACTCTAGTTATAAATATTTTTCTAATTAAAATTTCATTAATGTTTATGGTACTATGTTAAATACATTGAAAGTGACTAAAATGTTCCATTGAACATTTGTCGTATTACTTAAGAGTTCTTGGATAAAAACAATATGACGTATACTAGGAATAAATAGTACTAATTCCAATTTTATTTAGTAAACATATAGGGGTAAGAATATTTAAGTACGTGTTGTCTGTATTACACTATATTTGCCTGCGACATGTTACAGCAGTGCACACTTCTTGTCGTGTTGTTGCTTAATGGTTCTCGAAAACTTTCTCCTAATTATCGATAAAATGTTTTATTAATAATCTAGACGAGAGTGTCAAACCTAGATATTAGAATTTCTTTAGTAAGTCGCGAATTGTTTCTCCTACCAGTATGAGATCAGAGTTCAAGCTTGAGACAATTTAGGTTAAATTATTGTTCAATAGATGACTTCATTTGCCTAGACATTTAATTCAAAAAAACTAATCTCGCTACACATAAAGATCATTTTTGATCGCGTGACTATATATTATTTAAAACTCATGTACAGTAATTCTTGTCGATGGTAATTTTTAGCGACGTACTGTACCCGGGCACGTTAGACGAAGTTGGTGCGTTTTATCTTACTGATTTATTTCTATTATTGAAGGATTTTATTGCGATAGTTTTTGTAAGGTTCGATTGCCTTTTGATTGTCACAAGTACTGATAGTGTGAATAAAAACAAAAAAAACGACAAGTGTTGGTAGATGTAAAACTACGAGACCACTATTGTTGTTGTTTATACCATCGGTATTTTCGACCCTACGCACGTCCTTGGCACGTTGACGTGTCGGGTAATCAGTAAGGTGTCGTACTTTAAAAATATTACTGCAATAAAGGTCAGGACAGACAGCAGGCGCCGCGGAACAATGACGCGACGGAAGCAACTTCTAATGAAACTATTTAATAGAAAATGTCAAACAGAGCTCAATGCTCATTTTACCCCTCGTCGACATCCGCTCGCTGAACGTCCTAACCAAAAGAACAATGGCGGGTGTCCATACAATTTGTTTTTTAAATCAAATTGCATCGTCCTCCTGTAGTATAAAAAAAATTCAAAAATCGGCCATTTTTGTAGAATCTACGTGTAAAACTATTTTTGTTTGTCACTTTTAATGGGTCTGATGCATAAAATAATCATCTTATACTTATGTACATCTGCATACGAAATTTCCAATATATTCTCTTTCCTTAATTTAATACCGATTTCAACATATAATGAATTGTAAATTCTAAACCTGACCTAATATAATCTGTCGCGTCAGACGTTCAGGCTTTATATTTAAACACAGAGCGCAAACGGCTGTTAAGAGTTGTGAAAAAAAAAGTTTTGCTTTTTTTCAGCTTGCAGTTGCCACTTTATTTATTTTTACTTCCTCATATTCTAATTCTACTAGAGGATTTTCAAATACGTAAATAAATGCACCACAAACTACATTCTTTATTGATTCAGTACTAAGAATTTTAAAACTATTATCTGATTACCATATTACGACACTTTACTGGACAGTATTTCCACTACTTGAAAAAAATTGCTGTAAAATGGTAACACTAAACTGATAAAAGAAATTAAAACAATCAAATAAGCTAATAAAAATTTTCTTTCTTTTCCTGGGGCTTTACTGACTTGACGATAGTTTCAAAAAACGTAGATATTTACTAGAATTAGTTTCCTATGAATGACTCAAATTATACTCAACTACGAATTCACCATTTACACCTCTATTTTTGTAGAAGTCGCGGCAGTAAAACAATTATTTTCAATGTAATCTATGTAGTGTCTAGTCTATCTATCTATTATTTAAAGTGAGACAGTTTTAAGATCTGTGTTGAATGTACATTTAAATTCGTAAGTTCTTGTCTCATTGTACTCAGCTTAATGTTTAAGTTGAAAAGTATAAGTACACTAAGTAAAATAAGTTAATAAAACTTCAAAATGCTTATAAAATTGATCTCTATAATTTTTGACGTATTAGGGTAGGTCCTAAATTGATATTATTATTAAACTGTATCCTAGTTTTAAGCTTTAGGCGTAAAAAGTATTTTAGAGTGAGGGTAGTTTGAAAAACTAACGATGTTATAATTAAAACAATTATTTTTTATCATTTTACACATCAAAATAAGATCATTTATTCGTATTTTTTAAATGCCTATTTTTAGTAAATTAATGTCACTATATTTTTAATATTCCTTTTTATTTTTAGTTTGAAAAATATCTACAACTGACATCTAGAAATGTTAATTTTATTTTTAGTGTAGATTTATAATGTGATAAAGTAGTAGCTGTGTAAGACTTATAATTTATAAATATTTATACGAATCTCAATGGCTTCACAGAAAGCTAGTGTTGTTCTTAGGCTGTTCTCTCGTTGCTTTTCACCGAGCGAGTATGGTTACCGAACTCCCTCCTCCGATGACTCTGGGGGAGGGACTGAAATGGCGGCAACGCACTTGTGACTCTCGAGTTGCATGTGTCCATGGACGGCGGCAGTCACTTGCCATCAGGGCCTCAATTCTGCTATTTTAATATTATATCAATAGACTTTCGATGGACTGTCGTCTAAATCGTCTCTCTCGTCGTCTAGTTTTGCACTCGTCGAATAGTTTTGCACTTTTCGTATTCTACTATCTATGTAAATGGCAAAGTGATTAATATGACCATTGATAATCCATTTTCACTACATCGACAGTCTATTGACTCTTATGAATATATGTTAGTAGAATACCGATATTTTGACAGATGGGCTATTATTTTATTTTGGGGCCAAGAATGAATAAATATGACAACAAAATATAATTTGAAGTATGTTATTTTTTGTTACTTTTTTATACTGATATAACATAATTATTGTTTTAAGTATATATTACAGCAATTTGCAGCGATGTTTATTTACTATTTCTTTATTTATTTTATTATTATACTAGGAGGGGTACAGAAAAACAACAACTGTGTTACTTTCATGAAAAATCAAGTTTTATTGTTAGGAACATTTACCTCAATTTGGAAACCTATCACATATGAACTTAAGATAGGATAACGATAATCTTATATATTAAATCACAAATTATCTCAGTCAGATATCTCTTTATATGGTTAAGTTTACCACTTTGTTACCTAATTTTGATTTAAGCAATTGTAATTTAAAAAAATATTACAAAATAATAGCAATTTGAACTCACTATTTAAAGAGACAATTCAAATGTTTTAAATAAACAATAAACTCTTAAAATTAAGATATCTGAAAAAGTAGTTTTAGTTTTATACCTTCAAACGTTTCCAGAAAAAGAGGGACAAAAAAGCAACGCAGTGGTTCGATATGTAACATAGTGGTAAACTTTTCGCGTCCCACGTGTTTTCTTCACCTTAAACTAATAGAAACTTAATGCAAACAAAAATAAAGCATTTCAAAATAAACAAAACTTATCTTTAAACAAAAAAAAAAACAAACTTCTCAAATTAACAATTTATAAACATAAAAAAAACCTTTGTCTTTTCAGTCTCATTTCTCAAATATATTTAACGGTAGATCAAATTCGTAATATACGCGTCTACCTTTCTTAATTATTTTAGGATTGGGTACTATTTCTGAAATGTTTTCATATGGTTCGTATGAAACATCTTTTTCTACTAGTTTGAACCTTTTCCCCGAATCGTCAACTGATTTTAAAAACATAATCTTGATCTCTCCTTCGTCGTCAACATCACTTTGGGCAACACCTAGATAAAAGTATGTTTTGTCCTTGTCAGTGGAAACTTTGACTGTAACGTAAACACCCATGGATACTTTAGATGGGTGTAAATTTTCCTTTTCAATTAATTTTCGTTCATCTATGTTAGAAACTGAAGCTTCTTGTTCTTTTTCAAGTTGAATCTTTGAAAGAGGCTTATCATCTGAGCTCGAAGTTGGAGAATAAACCATTTCGTAATAAGACCTCTTGGGATTGGTCACAAGATTAGTTATATCAGTTAATACTTCTTTAAAGACAGGAATTGGCTGATAGGTTTTAGGTGATAAGCAGCCGCAAAAACCCCTTTCACAAAAGCAACTAAGATCGCGGTAGTGCAATTCTCCTGCATTTTCTGTGAAAACTTGATGTACCTGCATTGTACCCCGGAGAGCGATAATGTCCTTGGGAACAGTCTGCTCTACTTTTTCAATATCGGTATTAGTTATGAAATGTAGCTGAACTTTGCCGGAGTCCTTTAAAGCTTGAAAAAATGTCTCTGCGTCAGGAATGTCTAAGCCAAAAGCAACTTTTTGGTCAGCTGTTCGTTTAAGATAGCCACCAACACCATCAGCCGCACCCTTCCCGTGACCTGCTTCGAAAAAGTTCCAGGTGATGCGATCAAAGTTATACTCTTTGAATGTTCTTGAGCAGATGAAATGAAAGTTTATCTTCTGCCTATATTGTGTCGCAGGACCGTCGGAGAAGACATGGATTGTTTTTATGTGTGGATGATTAGCTTTTAATGTACTTAGAACTGGGTGAAGATGAGCCCAAATTGATGCAGGATTGTGAGAATTATTTGGTGACACGCTGCAAAAAGAACTAACCTGTGCCTTGTCCGCTCCTTGTGGTTTTATGTACAAAACGCCGGTATGCAACGTAATTTGCTTCCGTGATCCCCCGAAATGATGAGGCTGGATTTCCTCATAGTATTTTCCATTGTAATTCTCGCTGAAATCAATATGTAGGAGAGCTTCATCATTTTTCAGTTCATCAATAGCAATTCGGTAACTTCTGTATTGCATTTTAATATTAAATATATGTTTTTTCAACGCTATAATTGCCACTCTAAACTTTTCTATCAATTCTTCGACAGTGCCTTCGGTAATTTCTTTTACGTTTTTCGTAACTTTCAATCTGCCTTTGCCGGATTTGTCATTGGTAATCTCGGATCGCCGAACCCATTCTTGCCATTTTAACATTCGTGACTTATTTTGCGTGTTGTATATTATTTCCTTAGTATTGCAGGAGGCGCAATCACCCTGCATGCAAAGTCGGTTATCAGTTGCACACACAGTCTTCTCAATAACCTGGGACATGTTTGACTCTGATATGATTTTGTTGCTGTAAAGAGCATTTAGCATGTATTGGGTATTAGTATGCATCTTACACTGACAGGTATCTCTGCCATCAACGACTGGTGGTTTTACGTAGAACGGTCTTTGCTTGGTGAAGTAAGAGTATGAGCAACTCTCGTTAGGATTCTCTTTCTTGAATGTAATGAAAAGATTTTTCATCGTATCGAGAAGGTACCTTTTCTGCATTTTAGTCTTTTTGTAGGTCACGGTTTCTCGTTTCCCAGCCGTCATTCTAGAAACGTCATCACGATCATAAAACAATTTAATCTTTTGTGCCAGGACAGCGTGTTTGGGCGCCGTTAGTCTTTTTTTTAGCTTGCTAATACCGAGACATTCCTGCAACATAGCGCCTTTCATTTTTGATTTTGTTATGATACTCCCTTCAAAAATGCGACGTATTGTAAATCGATCTCTTACAGTCTTTATTCTGGAGTAATGGTCTCTGATGGCATTAGATACAGTGGCGTACTTTTTGTCTCCGTCTCCGCTCTCCGACTTTTTTGCTTTGTTCTTTTGTCTTTGGCATCTTTTTTTGTACTTATTATATTTCTTTTTCAGTTTATCATTTTCTTCCTTCAATTTTATATTTTGCCTAAATAATGTCGATCTGTCTCTTCTTACTTGTCGTCTTCCTCTAGAGCGTGGAGAAACGGGAGTTCCTGATCGTGGCGTTGAAGCTGGTGTATTATTCAAAATGACCTGTGCAATTTTTTGGCGCTCTTTACGTTTCTTGTTTGCATTCTTCCATTTACGCTTTATAGATCTATGTTCTCTCTCTGTCATGTCTTTTACAAGTTTTTTATTAGCGTGATATCTTGCAAGATTTTTTTGTTTAGCTTCAGCATTTTTGACCGGGTCCTGTTTTATTTTTTGCCTATAACGTCGTTGTTTTTCATCCGGTGTTAAAGCCATTATGTTGGGAATAGTATACTGTAACAAATCAATCTAAAATTAAATCGTTTTTATAAAGTAAAATAAGTAAAAACCTTAAGGTTTAACCACTGCGTTACTATAGCCACACCTGCGTTACTTCTCGTAGTAACACAGTGTGTTGGTAACACAGTTGTAAAAATTATACATATTCTAACGTTTCAGCCATATAGTAATAAATTAAAAATATTTTTTAATGCCATTCAAAAATGTACACATTTTCATACAGATGCATTTAATAAAATTATCAAATATCTAAAAAACTCACCGTTTATCACCCGTAACTCAGCGGTTTCACAATAAACACACGCACATCTCCTGCCGACTCTCGCGCGACTGGCTCGACCAATTCCAAGGCTACGCACTCCCCCCGCATCCCGCTAGCAATTGTTGACGAAACAAACGAATTTTGACGTTGAGGCATACAAAAAGCTGAGTTTAAGACTTATTTTCGTATGATAACACAGTATTCGTGATTTTTCACTTAGCCACAGGGACAAGACAAGGAATGTTTCGTAAATTAGAAAATTCCAAAGGGAAATGATACTTATCAGTGTTGTAGTAAAGTTCAAACAACTGCTAATTACTATAGATATTCAAATTTAATAGCTATTTAAATATTAAAATTTAATTTTAGTATATTTGAAGTGAGTTGCTTATAGGGACAGCGCAATTTTGTAGGGAATACACCTGCGTTTCTCAGAAATACAACTGAGTTACCGTGATTTAAGAAAAAATATAACTTATTCTGTTCTTTTATTGTAATTCTCTTAGACGGGGATATTATCGCTAACGTACCAAGAGTGTTTTTATTTTAGGAATCGTTGTTTTATTTAATAATAATCATTTTTGTTTGAGAGAGACCTGTTATTGGAACCAAAATAAAATAATAGCCCAGATATCAATTGCATCTCAATAGCATGTCAATGGAATGACAGTGGCTTGTACTTCAACATAAAATAGCAGAATTGAGACCCTGGCGAACCGTCTCCTGGTTTGGCCCTGCTATACCATTAAAAAAAAACATAGTCGAATCTTCAGGCGAACACTACGAGTAAACCAATATGCTACGGTCAAAAACCTAATAAATAGTCCACAATTTCTTTATTAACTCCGTGTAAAATTTTAAATTACATGAGATAAAATTATTTACACGGGCAATAAGATCAAAAAGTATTACATACCATGTTGCATGATTTAACCGTAGTGTATTGGCTAGGGTCTGTTCTAACCATCAGTCAACTCATTCACCATCAACCAATTTCAGTCTTTCAGCCTTAGTATTACACTATTATTAATTAGATTGATATTTTCAAATATAAACGGTATTCTATAATTTAATTGTGTCGTAATTATATATCAATTTTACCATACTCTCTTAGAATTTTCGATAGTTATATTGGTGTTTAATGTCACGTAAAAAATAATCAAGCGATACTCAGTTATAAGATGTCGTAATATAAATCGTTGCGGTGGACATACGCTACTCTCATCGAGCGCCGTAGGCCTCGGTCATCGTTTCGCGGTTTCCACTCTAGGTTCCGTTTGTTCCAACGGCCATCGGTCCTCCGACGAATGTGGACAGCACATTGCCATTTCAGCATGCTGCAAAATAGCACATGAAAAACTTTAAATTATGAATTCGAACCGTCAGTCTATTAAAATAGCAAGTGCAATCTAGTCGAAACGTCAGGCAATTTAAAGGTGTGTACTGCTTATTACAAATATATCATGGCACTTTAAAAGCCGAACACAGGTGTTACTCTAAAAATATTTTCTTGCCTTAGGAGGGGAATCAGATATGTTAACCTTGACTTGTGTCAATTTTTAGCCGCAATTTTGCAGTATGCCACATAAGGTAGTATCCGCAAGTTTCATTCCGATACAAAGAGCCACCGAAAATGGCCGTGGGTGTTTTGGGGTTAGGATTCTTAACGACATCTTATAATGAGTAGTATTTGTCAGATAGTGTATAAATAAATAGTAGAATAAACACAAAAATAAGATATATACGTAGATCAGTCTTAAACATCTCTAGTCGCTTCAATAATTTGTTTTACCACATTCTCATATGATAACGCTAGGAAACTCCTGGTGAAGATTGGGTAAAGATCAGGTCGAGTACCTCCCTCGTTTGATTTCACAAAATAGTGTAATATTCACTTCTGAGAATAATATTGTTAAGTTATCTAATTTTGTAACTAAAATTTGTTATGTCATTGATTGATTTGTATTCAGAACAACATAAAAAAAAACAATTCGTATTAAATCTTGAAATATTTGTGAAAAATTGATGTCTAGCATTAAATACTGCATCATCTGTTCACGAATATTCGTCTGAAACATCGTTAAACAAAAATTATACAATTAAATTGCAAATCTATAATATTTCTAATAGCAGACATCATACCATGCAGCAGAATTCGTTCTTATTCTAAAAACGAAGAAAACTAATATCATTAAACTAACTTTTTGAGTTATTACCTGAACTGTTTATGAAGCGACTCCATTACTATTAATATATTATAATTGTATATTATAATTATGTCTTTTATGTGGCAAATATAACCATGAGTGTTTTACTTCGGTCTTTTACTCAAACATCATCCTCATCATCATCAACAGCCTTTAATAGTCCACTGCTGGACATAGGCTTCTCCTTACTCAAACACTTACACCCTAAATCATAATATTGGCAAAATTATTAAAATATATAAAACCCTTATATTAATACTTTCTACAATAACAGAGTCTATACTTGGGAGAGCTCCGACAGAAATTAGGTTTCTAGCATGCGCACTGACATCTACATTTTATAGAGAAACTAGTTGTACGCGCGACTTCGTTCGCATGGAATTTGAAAAGCGCTGCCTTAGTGGGTTCGATTCCCGGACCGGGCAAGATTTTTAATGGTTTTTCTGAGAGGGTAAAAAGCCTAAGTTACTCCTCACATAGACAGCTACCTGGTATATGCAGATAACCGTGTGAGCATGAAGAAAACCTATTATTTTAACATTACAAACAGACACTTCAATTTTATTTATTTGTATAGATAGACAGCATAAAGCTTTTTCTTTACGTGATTTCGGCTTATGGTAGTAGCGAAATTTTGGTACCGAAAGTTGCATAAAGAAATTTTGTTCCAAAAGAAAAGACCTGTTAATCTTAGTAATACTTGCCAAAGGTTACATTTTTTGTTTGTGATTGTCAAGTTTAGCATCTTAATAATAAGCTGTCACGTTGAAAAGAAACCAAAGGTAGTGTTCTAGACTTTCTTAGTTCACTAATCTTCTCCATTATCTTAATTCAAAAACTAGATACAGTTCTGCAAGGAAAATTTCTTACAAAAATGAAACCAAAGAACTCCAAAGAAACAGAAATGTAAAGCTGAAAACTTTCTTTGCAGGTTCAAAATTCGATACAGTGGAGGACAAAAGTAAGAAAATGGAAGTTGCCAGAAAGCTCTTGATTAAGAGACGTAATGTCGAATATGTATTACAGTATAGCAATGTGACTCCTTTTATGTGGCATAAGGGCAAGTACAAATGTTTTTATTGCAACGAAACAACCAAAGACCCAGGCCTGCTAAGAGAACACACTGCAAAAATTCACCAATTTGCAAATCTAGAACTAGCAGTTTTTGACAGAACAAAGAATAACAGAAATAAAGATGCTGCAGTTAAAATCGATGTTACTGGAATATCTTGTAAGCTTTGTCCTCAAGCTGTAACGAATTTAGAAGAACTTATACATCATTTGATTATCGCACACGATGCGGAATATGACGTCAGCGTTCCAAATTGCTTGCTACCCTTCAAATTAGACAAAGACCAACCTACTTGTCCCACATGTAATATGAAATTTGTTTTCTTCGAATATTTGCTTAGACATGCTAACAAGCATCACTTATCACATCACTATATTTGTGATGTATGCGGCACCAGTTTCCAAGGAGAAAACCATTTAAAAATGCATTACAGGTACTATCATAGAGAAGGAGGCTATACCTGCGACTATTGTGGTATAAGTCTTGCGACATTATCAAAGAAAATTCTCCACGAGAAGAACGTGCATTTGGTGAATCTTTCAACTTGCCCTCATTGTCCGGAAACCTTCAAAAGTCCGTACCTAAAGAAACTGCACATGGCAAATGTTCATGGCGTAGAGGAACTTAAAATTAAGTGTCCTTATTGCTCAAAAGTGTATCCGCAAGAGTCCATAATGTCGAGACACATGCGACGAGTGCACTTGAGAGAGAAGAACGTTGAATGCGAAGTTTGTGGCGACAAATTCTTCGGACCGTACGATGTAAAGTTGCACATGGTCAAACATAACGGAGACAAGAAATTTGTTTGCTCTGTGTGCGGCAAGAAGTTCTCTAAGCGAAGTAATTTAAATTCTCATGTGGTATTACACACCCGGGACAAAGATTACATATGTGGGATTTGTACTAAAGCTTTCGCTCACCAAACAAATCTCAAAATGCACATTAGAAACAGACATTCAGATATTCCGTTTGATGAAACCAGAGTGGTTGATGAAATTGATGAAAGTGAAATGGTTCAAATGGAAATAATCAAAGATGACTTGGAAGGTGAAGTAGCTGGACAGTATATTCAATGATTGGAGCATCAACCTTCTCCGACTGTAATGGTTAGGGAAGGTTGTTCAACCTCCAAAGACCACAAAACGTGCTCACCCAATGAAGATCTTAGCTTGTCAACCGATGACGTAGATGGCCATCATGCGCAAAGGGAACACACACCAGTAACACGAGAAAGTTGTAAAGTGATAAATAGTATTTTGGAGGATGATAGTTTGATTGCTGTATGTAGTCAAAATGGCAAAGTCCAAAGTAATGGGTTAGTCAAAGAAAGTACCGAACCACTAAATATACCTTTAAAAGGTGCTTTAATTGAAGAGGGTCAATTACAGGAGGAACGTTGCTTGGTTGAACAGAGTTCTGTGGTTGATGAGACTTGCGTGGTCGAAGACGACGAATTAATTGAAAATGACGGATTAGAACATGACATTAACAGAGTTGAAGTCGAATGTTTGATCGAGGAAGGCGGAAGTTCGTTTGCCGAAATTTATCCCCCGTCTACTGTAATGGAAAACTGTCCTTCAAACCCGGCGGCCGGACAAGGCCTATGCATCGTTGTAGACGCAACAAATGGTTCCTCTACTATCATACACCAGTGGCTCACAGAAAAAGACGTGGAATATGTTATTGAACATGTCTCAGAAGCCGATTAATTACTGCACTAAGTGTATATAAAGTTATGTGCTCAATAAAAATTGTTGTATTACTAGGCAATAACTGAGTTTAAAGACAACACAATGCAACAGGCAAAGGCTTGTTATCAACTCAGTAATGTTATTCGTGGTGTCTGCAGCTATTTTATATACCTATTTATATTTATTCCTCTTAAGTTGCTTTGTGAATAAAATTCTATTTATTATAATGAAATGTAATATCGTCTTGGTAAATCAAATTGCGTCCTGAGAAGACTCCTCAATAATGGCAACACCGAAACTAATAAATCCATTGCTTACTAAAAAAATTGGACTTAGTTGCCATTACAAAATTTTATATTTAGTTATATTTTTATTTCGTCGCTGCATTGTCAATTTCAGTATTATTCAAGTATGCCTACAGGTTTTTTTTACTTGCATTTTATCAGCTCTCGAATTATTGTGTAAAGCCGAATTATAAGCTTGTAAACGTAATTGTAAATATAACTAGTACTATAACCAAGGTCGTTAGACAATAATTTACACGAAAATCGTTTACGAATAATGTATATTTAAGGTAGATTCTTGATATTGACTACCTTTTAGACTAATGACCCGTAGCATCTTGTTCATTGAAATACAGTTACTGTTGTGGATCCTACCGTAACCATATGTCCCCAAACTCACTTGCGTGCAGAATAATTGAACTGTGTTGTGCAGAAACGAGCTATCTACACACTGGTCAAATTATTTATTGATTCCTATTAAGTTTCCAGATTTATCAGTCTTGAAATTTAAAAAAAAAGTAGTTGTGATGGAAAGAATTGCTAATCATTAATAAATAAGTATTTTGCTAGAATTGATAATTCTATCAAAGCATATTCAAGTTTGTTTAATTTGTGAATTGGATCGATCACATTCTGCAGAACACACACAGTTGTAAAAAGCTGATATTTGTTAAGCTAGATATTTGTTATTAATTGTTGTGACATTGTAGTCTCAACAAAATGACAGGTGTTTTGTCTGTATTCATTTTATTAGGGAAGTACTTCCACTAATGTTAATCATCATCTTTGTCTTTCTTTTATTTTAACCTGGTTGATCTCGTACTAATAATTAACCAGATTCTTAAATAAAATTCTTGATCTTACTATAACTAAATCATGGGCATACGCCATTGGAAGTAATTAGTAGGTACATGTACATTTACACCCACAATTTTGCGTTCTAAGCCAACTTTCAAGATGTTTAGGTTTAGTTTTAACTGTTTGTATGCAAAAAGAAAGAAAAAAATATAAAAAGACTATCCTCCTGATCCAAATGTATTTACGTCAGGTTTTTTAATCATCTTTGTAATCAGCGGTCCTACATGATTACAATCCATTCAGTCCCTGTCAGATGACAAGCTGAGCTTTCTGGTTTTAATTCACGACTTCAGGTTTTCTTCTCGTGTTGCCATAGTTTTTCTGGACTTCGATTTAGATCATATTTCTGAACTTGTTCTATTTAATCTAACATGCGCATGCACAAACGTTCAGTTCGGGGTTGGTTTATTTCGAATTAATCTCCGTGAAAGAAATCAAATTAACCGGCTTGTCCAGTATACCTTTTTATGCTGTTAAACAACTATACTGCAGCCTACAGATGATCTCACGTAAAAGTACACGTTTTTCTCTTAGCGCTGCTATAATTCCAGCGACCGCCAGCTGTTACTCAAAATTATATACCATTGATTGTATTATGTTTATTGCACTTCTTAATTTTAACTGTAAATTGTAATCTACTAAAATCACTATGTATTAGGAAAGAAATAATTTTTTAACTTGTTATTGTCAATAGTACCTGAAAAACGAGATGTTTCATCTGTAATCACAAAGTAATAAGTAGCCAAGGATTATTTTAATGCATAATACTAGCTTTCTGACAACGTGATTTTACGAACGGACATCGTGTCACATCAAAGTCTTCACTTTAAACTAAATGCAACTCAATTTTTCGAACGAGAAGGGCCTTAATCGACTCTTCTCTTTTCAGGACGTAAGGCTCGAAAGCAAGAAGACACATACCTCGAACGCCTTTCTAAAATCCGGAGGAATATACTCTTAGTACTGCATTACGGTAAAGTGGTACCTTTCACGTGGCATACGAAAGGTTTCAAGTGCTTCTACTGCTTAAAACCTATGAAGGATTGCGAGGTGCTCAAGGAACATACATTGAAACACTCCATAGACTTAGATGCTTTTATACCAAAAAGAATAATTTCTAAAGATGTTCCCATTAAAATAGACATCTCGGGACTAGGTTGCAAAATTTGCCCGGACGCTCAACTCAAAGATTTAGAGGATCTAATTTCTCATATAATTTTCACCCATAATGAAGAATATGATACAAATCTTGGTGTATGCGTGTTCCCTTTTGTTCTGAACAAGGATTTAATGCAATGCGTTTTATGCCAAAATCAGTACGACAATTTCACATCAATGATCTTGCACATGCACAGAGACCATGTCAGTCATTCTTGCGTTTGCCAAATTTGTGGTTTGAGCTTTATGAGTCGGATTCGTCTCAAAAGACATATTAGTAACAGTCATATCGGCTACAGATGCTCTGACTGCGGTAAGATGTTCACCGCTTTTCATCGCTTAGAGAAACACAAACAACAAATACATGGATACACAAAATCACATGAATGTAACTTATGCAGTGCCAAGTTTGACAATTCATATCAGGTAAAGGTGCATTTAGGAAAAATGCACAATGTGGAAAAATACAGGATTAAGTGTGATCACTGCACGAAGATTTGCACGACGAAAGGTGCAATGTTACTGCATGTACAAGCGCAGCATTCTGACTTGAAGTATGAATGTGACATATGTGATTACAAAGCTGGAATTAAATGGCTCATTACTTTGCATAAAAGGAAACACTATGGAGTTAGGGATTATTCATGCAGCATATGTGAGCGATTGTTTCGTAGATCTAGTAATTTGAGAGCGCATATGAAAGTACATTCTGGGGTGGCTGGAAGAGTATGTAGGTTTTGTAGGAGAGGGTTTACAGATTTTGAGACTTTGAAGACGCATGAGGCTGAGTTACATTACAGGGACGATGCTTAGCAGTCAGAATAATTAAATAAGACATAAGTAAACACATAACAAGATAAGTTCTTTATTATAGAAGTTATTTCTATATTACTTACTGTTGATAGGTATAAATTATATTCGAGGTGAGGTGAGGTGAGGATTACTTATATACTAAAAATTACGAGTATATGACCGCTATTTTTTTTTTTTTTTTATATGACTGGCTTTCTAGTCCAAAACAGAGGTGAGCCTCATCGCTCTAAATTTTAAGTTTTTAAACAATCACTGTATTTTTATATAATATAAATTACATTAATGTATACATTTCTTTAATTTTGTCTGTGGATATTGGATATATATATCCAATATCCACATACTATTATTGGATATATATATCCAATATCCACATCCCATTGGATACATATATATATATAATAATTTATTGTAATAATAAAGAAGAAAGTTCAATTAACTTAGGTTTAGTTTTGTAACTGTAATCTTGCATATGCAGATATGAATGTGAAAATAATAATTATATTTCATGTTAGAAGAAATGTAGACACCTACACTTTGTAGAATATGTGGAATAAAGTAAAAATATAAGTATGTAGAAACAGTTACATCCCTACCTGCAATCGAACCCACAACCGGAAATATGATCGCTTTCTCCCTATACAATTAGATGTTATGAAATTTTTATTTTAAATAAACTACTTAAAAATAATAATTAGCCTTTTTATTCCTCTCCAAATATTAAACACCATTCACCGCCTCTCATTTAACTTTTGAGAAATAATTAAGAATTATAATATATTTGACCACACATCAATGGCTTTTTTCGTGACAATCCATTTTGGTTCATGATCCTGGCTAGTGACGAAAATTTCCAAACTTGAAGACAAATATATTTTTAACAATTTATCTGAGCATGTCATTATTATGCCAACATTGTTTACTGTGTTGCTACTTCATTTCATTATATTAGCAAATTTAAAGACGCTACTCGTGTATTAGCTATGATGTCATACTATGTAATTTAATAGATATGTTAATGCATGACGTGTTCTGGCTACCTCTAGAGTAAAGAAGTACTTGGAATGGCCTCTAAAAGCAGCTGTTTTCCTTGCAGGAGAACCTAGAGGTGGCCAGAAAACGAAGGAACCCCGAACGAATTTATCCACGGAAGATGATTTTATCGATCGCGTCCAGTCTACTAGCAAAACGGTTTTGACACCAAAAGAAAAACGTGCCATTATGAGAAATAATGTGGTACAAGTCCTCGTTAAATCTACTGTGATGCCCTTTCGGTGGTTGAAAAGTTCTTACAGGTGCTTTTACTGTTACGATATCTTCCAAGACGCGTCCGAGCTGAAGAACCATCAAGCAGCACACAAGGGCGAGCAGATAAAGATACAAGCCATGAGCAACTACTGGGAGCCTGTCGTTTACGTAGATATATCTAATTTGTCATGCAAATTATGCCCGGAAAAGATTACGGACCTGTATGATCTTATTGACCACTTGGTCGCAAAACATGAGGTGGTTTATAACAAAGATGTTGGTATATGTATGGTGGCATTTAAGTTAGATAATTTTTCAGTCAGTTGTCTCGCTTGTGGAGCAAGTTTTTACACATTTGGTCCTTTACTACACCACACTAATAAAGATCACAAAGGAACTTCAGCGATCCTATGCGAAGTTTGCGGTCAACATTTCAAAGACGCCACATTATTGCGTCTTCATGTAAAAACTGTCCACGAAAACACTGGTTTGTTATGTCCTGAGTGTGGAGAAAAGTTTGAAACAAGGTCCAAACTAAAAACGCATCAGAAGAATCAGCACGATTTGGATAAAAAGTACAAGTGTTTGGTCTGTTCTCAGACCTTTCAGAGCCACTACAAGAGATCTAGACATATGGCAGCTGAACATAAGAACCGTCAAGAAATTAAATGCTTACATTGTCCGAAGACTTTTGTCTTCCGAAGCATGATGATGACTCATTTAAGGGATACTCATTTAAAAGTTCGAAACCATATTTGTGGAGTGTGTGGTTGGAAAGCTTTTAATAGCAATAGATTAAAAAATCATATGTATAAACACAGCGGGGAGAAGAATTTTAAGTGTGAGGCTTGTGATAAGGCGTTTACTACAAAAAAAATTATGAGAGCACATTTTGCCAGGATGCATAAGAGTCCTCAACCGCCTGTAATGCAGTACGAGAATCCCTACGTGGGACAATAGTTTTAGCGATTGTTTTAGCTGTACTCTATTTAACTGTATCTGCAATAGGTATATTTTTTATTTAAATTTGAACCCACCTGATTTGCAGACAACATGCATGTATCAGATGTATGCAACTAACTTTCTGATGCTGATGTTTATAAAGGTAATCTACTCGAAAGTAACGAAACAGCCATGAATATTTGGAGCGTAGGCATCATATTTCGAGATTAAGATATGCCTAAAACCGATCGTGTTTTGTAATTTTTATGAATAAATTCGGTGACAAATAAATTTTATTACTTTCAATTTTCTTTAATGATGGATTATTTAATTGTCTATTAATCACAAATTATTTGATTAAGCTAGCTTTATTAGTATCTGGACTTTCACGCATCTTTATGATACGAAACACTTTAATATTTGGTAGGCAGAAGTGTTTTGAACGCCTTCATTTGGTCAATTTTAATTTTATTCATACTTACGTCATAGGGAGCAAGTTTATTAACAACTACCGTCAACACTCTGGCGATAAGATTGGAATATTGTATTCTGGTCTAAATTTTTTATTACGGCAATGTCACTATTCATGGATTGAAGTGTGGTATTCTTGAGTCGTGGATATAATGTTTGAACACTATATGTTTTGGATCCTGTTTCTATATGATCATTTTGGAATTATTGTAAAATTTATCTTTACTGGAGAAATAGAATACTTCAAGTATTTTTATGTGTTTTTTTTTATCTTTTAGATAGTACTTAAGAACAGGTTATGTGCTAGTTTTTATCATAACGTATTTTATATAGGCAGATCACAAAAAAAAACATGGCAGTGTAATACATTAGTCGCCATGTGAGCGTTTTTTTTTTAATGAGAGGACAAACGAGCAGACGTGTCACCTGAGTAAGCAACTACCGCTGCACATGGATACATTTTCAAATACACACTAATGTGTTTGAAATCTCGAGTATTTCTGACCATCGATTTTTTTACTAATCTGATGAGTTGCCCTAGACACTCGGTCCTATATGTAGGGCTCATGTATGATGGAGGTACTCAACTGGGTGTAAGGTATTCCTCCTATGTTAACCTGCCCCTGCCTGTTCTAGGGCTCCCCTACTATTACTATTGAGACGAATCTAAAGACAACTCCCAAGGAAAAATTCATTAAGTCATGTAGATTACAGAGCGTGAAAAAGAAATACAAATTCATACACGTACATACACTTATTGTACATACACACGAAAAATATAACTCTCCTGGCATTGTCGAGTAATAAGTAATAATTTTTATAGCTTCAGACATTGCACACTGCACACACGGCCGTCTGATCCTAAACTTGGCAGAGCTTGTAATGTAACCAGACTATTGATTAACATGTCTATTTACAACTAAATACACACTGCCCGTGTAGTGATAGATTAAGAATACGGAGTGTCACCCCTATTCATCTGTGAATCAAACCGAAGACCTCTGACTTAGCTAGCCCTAGACAAACATACCCTTCAAGTACTACTCACTATAAATTTGTTTAATCTTCAAACACTACAATAACGAAAGATGACACTATTTTGGTATAAAGCTGTCAGAAATTACAGGGGTTAAAGTATGAAATGCCGTTGTATAATAATAGATGATTTGAATTGACATAACCTTCATGGTGTGAGTTTTTCGTGTAAAACTTTTTACATGATATCTATGAGATTCTTCTTTTAAATGATGTGCGACATTCGATTTTCGACTTTCAACTGTTTTTATATTCAGCGTAGACGTGAAAGATGGATTCTTCGAAAATCCCAGTCATTTTTGAATACGAGTTCCGACGCGGAACTCACGTGGCAGAAACGGCTCATAATATCAACGCTGCGTTCGGAGATGAGACTGCTAATGAACGTACCGTGCGTTTTTGGTTTGAACGTTTTCGTAATGGAAAATTTGACTTGCAAAACGAACCACGTGGAAGACCGCCCACACAGGAGACTAACGCTTAATTGAATGAGATGGTGGAAGCCGATCCGAGTCAAACTACCCAAGAATTAGCGGCAATGTTTAACGTTATCCTCCCTGCAAAATTGACTCATTTGCATCAAATTAATTATGGGTGCCTCATGATTTGACTGATCTGCAGAAAGAAATGCGTGTTGAAACTTGTATTGCCTTGTTGAATCGGTACAGAAATTAAGGAATATTGCAAGAAAAAAGAAATGAAGGAATATTGGAAAAAGAAAGAAATGAAGGAATATTGAAAGAAAATTTCTCTTCCCAGGATGCCTCCTGAAATGCTTTCACACAGTTTGTCCAATCTAGATCCCCAGAGTTCTATCGCAAAGGCATAAATGAACTTCCGCTTAAATATATTACATCACAGAAAAACAGTTTCAATTTATCAGCAATTTCATACTTTAACCCCTAATATCTCGCGATATTACACAACAATGATATAAATGTAGAATAAATTTGTTTTAAAAAATCCGTAGTAGTTTTAAGAACAAGTCAGAAAAGTTCATAAATGTTTTTTCGCTTTTTCAGACGCGATGGCCAGCAATGACATCGACTCAAAAGCAGAAATTATCAAAATAAAATCTTACTTAATTAAAATACTTCGACAATCCACCGCCATACCTTTTAAGATACACGAAAACGAATACAAATGCTTCTATTGTGATATAACGTTTCTTCATCCATCTAAACTAAGAGAACATAGCACTCGGGCTCACGACTTAACGCACGCTGATATACTAATAATTTGGTCTAAATACAACTTTGAGTCTAACATAATGTTGGATATAAAAAATAATAATTGCATACCCTGCAATTTGAAACTTTGTAATATGCACGATTTAAAAACCCACTTTAAAGAAAAACACGACGTAATTCCTCCAAAATATTTATTGGACAAAGTAATGTGTTACAAACTAAATGACGATTGTATAAAATGCTTTTTGTGTTCACGAGGCTTTCACAACATTCAGAGTCTTATAGAACATCAGAAATCAAGCGTTCATCTCACTTGCCAAAACTGCAAAGAAAATTATTGCAATAAACAAGACTTTCTTGAACACGAAACAACAATTTGTAAGCCTTGCACTCTTTGCGATTTGAGATTCCTATCAAAGAAAAAACGGGACGCACACTTGAAAAATGTCCACTCCCAAGGATTTATATGCCAGTTTTGTTCACTACGATTCACTTTGAAAGAAACATTAACTCGCCACATTAGGAACATACATTACAAAGAGAAAAATCAAACATGTGACGTATGCGGTAAAACATTTTTTGATACACACTATCTCAACTTACACAAAGTAAGTCATCAAAGTACAAAACCATTTGAATGTGACATTTGTAAGAAGAAATTCGCTCGTAACGAAGCATTAAAACTGCACAAAAGGATTCATAACAATGACAGAAGATATTCTTGTAATGATTGTGGCAAAAAATTTATCCAATGGTCAGCTTTACATATGCATAAGGTAGTCCATTCTGATGAGAGGAATTTCAAGTGTCCAGTTTGTCAGAAGGCATTTAAAGACAAGAAAACTATGAGCAAACACTGCAAAACCGTTCATCAGAAAGAGGAAGTCAAGTGATGATCTCGATTTTACATCACCCTTTAAAGAGGTTTTACATGATCTATGCTGACAGTGTTGTGTTAATTTTTCTGTAGAACCCACGTAGTGTGATACCTTTTTTTTGATGAGTGGTTTAAAGGTATAAAACTATTTATTAGTCGTGTAATAATTAAAGAATAGACATAACTAGATATGACATGAATATAGGAAAAAAAAGAAAGCGTTTTTATGCTTTAAATGGTATATGTATTTCTTATACAACCTAAGTATTTTACTGTTAAAGCTGGTAATTTTTTCATAAAAAATATATTACGGTAACAACTCTTAACCGGACAAAAAGTACTTTTGAACGGTTAAGAGTTTAGACTGTAAAATATGTAAAGAATATTTGTAACATTGTAATTACTAATATTCAACCTAAAGCTAAGCTAACTGTATATGTTAGTAATTGGTATATGTACTTCAATAATGCACTGTTTGGGGTTCTGCAAAGGAAAATTTTGTTCAATCTATGCTAGTATAAAGAGGAAAGTACCTGGATGACCTATGAAATGAAACCTAGCTAGATCGATTAATCGCTCCCGAAATCCCCTGAATACTAAATTTCAAGGAAATTTTTGGAGCCGTTTCCGAGATTCAAATTATATATATTTATATTATAATTTTATTTTATTATAATTTTATTTTATATTTTAATTTGAATATATACTCGTATATAAGAATTGCTCGACAAACTCTGTAAATCCTAATTCGTTTTTAAAGTAAAATAGACTAAATCACTAATTAGACTACAAAAACGTAACTAATATTTTGCATTTGACAGATCATACCAATGCAATCTAAGAAATATAATTCTGACGTACAATAAAATCTGCCTTTAGGGGTTACAGCCAAACAATAGCTATATTAAAACAGTTTGTTGTTAAGGTGAGCGTGTCAAAAACTTACAGCAATTTAATCATCTAGGCAAATGTTATCTGAAAACATATCTATATTGATTGGCAGTGTTTTCTTAATTACCTACTCATATCTATATTTTGTGGTAACTCTTAACATAGAATACATATATAGAATTCTTTAAGTTTAACTAGTAACCAAAAATCCTTGCTTATTTGCAACATTGAATAGCGACTCTCGAAACTTCGTAATCCTTAGTAGTTTGCACTTAATTTCTATAACCCGGCAATCTCGTGCGCGACCGTCCCGCGGGGTGACAGACAGCGGCGGGGGCGAGGTAGCGCGTCATTCTAGCACACAGCTACACACGAAGAGAAGTGTTTCCCTTCCCAGCTACACCACCCGCTACCCGCTGACATCTTGAGTACCTCGTCCCCGCCACCGTCTGTCACCCCGCAGGACGGTCGCGCACGACGTTGATGGACTATAGCGTGGCTATTTAGATTGAAAAAATAGTCCAGGTTATATATATTAATAAAATATTAACCAATCCTAAGCTGTTACGTATCCAATTAAAAACTGTGCAAGTTTATTATATATATATATTTAATAAGGATAAACTTTAACGTAGAAATGTAGATTTGACAGTGATTAGACACTACATAAAAACACGCACTCTATATAAAGGCTGGCAAAGCAAGGCAAGCTGGCAGCCCTTGATACGAGACGTCCGAAGTTTATCTTTAGACAAAGTTTTCTATTGCAACTGCCATTCATTTTATTTTTTGGGTGATATAAGTGATAATTGATTATGTTTAACGTCATCATCATCATCAACAGCCTTAAAAAGTCCACTGGCTGGACATAGGCCTCTCCTTAGAAAGGAGGTTTTGGTATAGGGGTTGTCTGCGTAGTCCTGCTACCTAAGTCGGCTCTTACGACACTCACGGGATGCATAGTAGTGATACTCAGTAATCTTAATCCGTCACAGCACGGACCATGAACAACATGTTCAGCATAACTTTTAGTTTTTTTTTTACATTTTAACTAAATACGTACATGCGTACGCCTATATCCCCGAAAGTGTAAGCAGAGACGTTATAAACGCCCACATTAAGAACACTATAATTTTCCCATTTACGTAATAGCAAGTCTATAGCCGTTAATCGGGAACTTTAGGGATTAGGTGGGCAAACTTGGAGTATCTTAAAGGGAAAGGGATATGACTTATGCTATAATGAAAACAATAGCTTATGCTGGTCAATATTGCAGGTATGCAACTCGTATTGGCTACTTTCAGAGTCCTCCTCGTACCAACAAAATTAGATTTAAATAAGACTGTATTTAATACATAAACTCGAACAAAAAAAAAAATGTTTAACATTATACATCTCTGTTTAAACACAACCTCTCTGCCTGTAACAATGATTGAAGTAAATGTTTCTTGTTTGATGTAAATAAGATAAAAAACGACGCTTTTAAGAAAATACATAGAATTGTTTGTCTCGATTTCAGACGAAAAAAGGAAGAAGAAAAAAACCGTGAAGGAACAGGTCGAAGACTTGTCTGTTTCAGAAGAAAAAGATAACAGAAAAAGGGTTATCGAAGATAATACAGATTCTTCTACTTCAGTTGACATGACAAGGAAGAAGAAAAAAGCCGTTGAAAAGACAAAGAAAAGAACTGGTGTCGAAGAGGAAGCTAAAAGAGAGACACGTCACCTTTTATCAGTTATTATAGAGACTTCTACAGCGATGCCGTTTCGCAAAAATGGGAATACATATAGGTGCTTCTATTGTGAAACTAATTTTTACTACGCGTCTGAATTAAGAGCTCACACTCTCAACGAACACAACAATGAAACCAAAAGACAGTTAAAACAGACTATAATCAGAAATGTTGTCAAAAAGAATCTTATTGTTAAATTGGATGTGACCAATCTGACCTGCAAATTGTGTTCTGAATCATTCATCACTCTCAAGGACCTCATATTTCATTTCCGTAAACACGATAAAGTTGTAACTGATAATCTTGAAAATATGTTATGTTTAAAACTATCCGATACTGAATTCAAATGCTTGTATTGCGATAAAGAATTCCCATTCTTTAAGACTTTGTACATACATTTGCACAGAGAGCATGTCAACAGACGCTTCATATGTGAAACTTGCGGCCTTAATTTCACTACCAACCAAGGGTTAAATAACCACACTGCTTACGTTCACAACCAGGGTAGTTTTGTCTGTCCGGATTGTGGCAAAAAGTTTGCCGCTCAACATCTTCGTAGTGCACATATGAAACGTTCCCACGACCCGGAGAACATAAAATGCCATGTATGCAAGGCAATATTCCGAAGTGTAAATCAAAAGGACACTCACTTAGCGAAGGAACATAACATTTGGATCACAAAGGAGTTCAAATGTGACAAGTGCTCCAAGAGCTTTAAATATAACCACATGTTAATGACACACATAAAACGAGTCCATTTAAAAGAGAAGAACTTCACATGTGATCACTGTGGAGATAAATTCTTTGAGAAAAAATTGTTGGAGTTGCATCAAATAAAACATAGCGATGCCAAACCCTATGAATGCAGTACCTGTAATAAACGGTTTCCGAGGAAGAATGCTTTATACAGACATGAGAAGATACACACGGATCCTCGTAATCTAAGCCTTAAACGATTGCAGCGCAAGAAGTTTGAAGAATCAACGTGTTCACAGTCGTCTGCGGTTATGTGTTAAAAGCAATAGAATTTTTGGTTGTTGTGTAGGTTTTTTTCAATGTTGTAACACTAAAACCTTAAGCGTTGATTTAATTAGTAGTTATAGTATTTTAGCTATAGCAACACTACGCTGTTTATTTTGTTCACCAACGTCCACATTGAGCGCCTTGTGGACTTCAACGGTGGCATTCTAGTCTATGTAATTTGGACTCTGTTAAATAAAACAACTTACAGTGTCAACTCAACAATATAACTAACAACCTGTACCTATTCTCAGGTTGGTCGGTGGTTTTAAAATCCTGCTTTAGATTATCAACAATATTACCTTATTTATCCTCGAAAAAGCAGGTAAAGACGTATTGAACATATACACACATATTGAAAACTAGAATTTGATCTCATTCTCATACTTTCAATGGAAGGAAAACCTATTACCGTACACTGGGAATTTCGAGAATTAAAGATAAAAAGGTGGTAAATTGAAAGGATGGTATTTGAGTATTAAAGCCGGAAAGTGATATTGATTGGGGAGTGTAAATTCGAAGAGACCGAGACCTTAGTACTTCCCTACTTATGTCGGAACTCTTTTCGCCATGTAACTTGAAATTAAGTTTACAAAATTAAATGCTACAATTCATTTTTTGCTTTATGTTCATGAAATGTTAAAGACAAAAGAAAGTAGTATTTTCTTTCTCGCTTTCAGAAGCTCCAAAGAAAGCGGACACCGTATTGGAGACAATGAAAAGAACACGCCTACTATTAATCGGTATTCTAGAAAATTCCACAGCTCTACCGTTCAGGAAGATGGGCCAATCATTCAGATGCTTTTATTGTCAGACAAACATATACTTTGCTACGGAACTAAGATCTCACTATGCAGAGAAACATAAAAAGGAAAATGTCAAAAGTATGGGTCAAAGAAACGTTACAAAAAGATATTTCTTAGTGAAATTGGACATAACAGATTTAAGTTGCAAAATATGTACTCAAAAGCTTGCTGATCTACAGGAATTAGCCGACCATCTTCGCGTGCATGGCAAAAAAATTGAGCAAAGATTTTGGTAACATTGTTTGCTTAAAACTTGCAGATTACGAATTTAAATGCACTTACTGTACAAAAGAGTATCCTTTTTTCTCACAATTGTACTCGCATATTCATCAAGAACATTTAAAAAAGCATTGTATCTGTCCTGTCTGTGGTTTAGGCTTTGTTGATGATCGAAACCTGAGCAGTCACATGAAGAAACATGCAGACAAAAAGAAACGTTTTGATTGTAATGTCTGCGGACTAAAATTTTTCACGGCAGGCAACCGAACCAACCACATGAAAAGGGTTCATGGAGACAATAATTGTCACATTTGTAATTTAACTTTAAAAAGTGAATTTCAAAAGGCAAACCACATGGCCAAAGAACACGACTTCTACATTAGAGAATTTAAATGCGGTCTTTGTCCTAGAAAATTTATATTAAACAAATTTCTTGTAAGACATGTAAAAAACCAACATTTTAAAGAAAAGAACAAAGCTTGCGATGTTTGTGGAGCTCAATTTTTTGATACGGCAAGACTGAATCAACATAAAATCAGCCACAGTGATGAGAAACCTTTCAAATGTGATGCTTGTGATAAAACATTTGCTAGACGTAAAACTTATCGGCAACATTTGAGAATACATTCTGACGAGAGAAATTATGTCTGTAAGGAATGTGGCAAAGCGTTTGTACACTTTAGCGGCCTTGCATGGCATAAACAAGAGCATGAGAAAGATGAGACCGAAAAACAAAATCTGTAGAACATAGGTAAAACTATGACATGCAACAACATGACGGCTATGGAAAAAAAACCACACTGGGTAAAAATACGACGACTGAGCACATTAAAGCCCCTGAGAATGCTCCACAAAATGCAATCGATACTAATATAATATCGTTGCAAGCTACGTTGTCATTGCAAAAGGAACAAGAAATAGTCAAACGGGAAACATTAATTAAAAATTAGGAAATAATTTTCTATAAGTTCGAAAAGAACAATCATTTTATCTAAAATTGCGTGGAGTGCTAGATCTCAATTTTTGTAAAAAGATTTTATTGACAGATATTGGTAAAAGTAAAGTTATTGTATTATAAAATACCTTGAAAAGCATCTACGGTCTTTTTATATATTTGTTATTGCGATTTAATCTCATTCAGTGTGGAGTTAGTAGTTACGGTGAAAGCCTGGCTGAAAGGTTCATTATGAATGAGATCTCATTTTTCGTTCTTGTGTTTCGTATCTCTATTCTGAATATAGGTTACTCTGCGAACCTTATTATTGGAATAGCAATATACATTGTACATAAAATTTATTGTACGTAACTGTAGTTTCGTAAAAAGCAAAAAAAAAAAGCTGGTTCGAAACTGGTGTCGTACAAAAATCATTTTGCCTCCTAAACTGGTTACGAACCATCGGTTTTGAATGCGGCCGAAGGGTACCCTCCATATAGTTTTATGTAGGCTTTTTTTTTTAATTTACAAATTTAAAGCACGTATTGCTTAAATATGTTATTTTGTGATTACAACATGTAAATATTAAGATTCCAAATATGATATGTTTCCGTGCTCCATATTTATTTTCAAAAGGAGCACAATAATTTTCTTCACGTTTAGAATAATAATAATATAAAATAATAATTAAATTATATTAAAATATTAATTTGATATTTTTGAATAGGTAATAATTAACCTTAAATAGCTAAGTTTATTTATTTCACGAGTCCATTTCATGTAGGTAAGTGGCAGCCAAATATGGAGCCATATTTTTAACCTAAAAATACAAGAAATTAAAACGGTTAAAATTTTAAAATAGTTCGTCTTTTGTAAGTGTTAGCACAATGTTTATGTAATTAAATAATTGTATTAATTGTAAGGATTAAAATAAGTAGGTAAGCTCACATGGTTCTTATCATAGACCCCAGCTAGGGTCTCGGGTTGGTTCTGCTGGTCTGCGTCCAAGTTGTGTTCCGCGCCGCCTACCACTTATCGCGGTACACTGCCTTGGGCCCGGATGGGCCTGTTGGTAATACCAGTCCGGTAACAAGCTCGAGCCGAATGTAAACAATAGCTCCAGTAGGTCGGTTGCCGGAAAGTCCGAATCGTTCAAATATTATATTTAAAATACTCAAATTTTACAATTTTATACACCTACCCACATAATATTATAAAATAATTTTATGACTGCAAGTTTTTGTGTAATAACATGGTGCTTCTTTAAGGGACAAATTAGCGTCAATTTCATTCTTATGCTAAATGTATTACCTATTTCAAATAATTAAAAGCGTAATTAGTTTCCTTAATAATATACATCACACATTACATTACACACTTTTTTTTAAATAAAGCGACTTATATTAAATTAATTAGTTTTATGTAAGTAATTTGAATTATGATGCTGTAAATATCTTAAAGTTGTAGTCTAAGAGCTTTTCTCATTTATATTCAAATGAGTAATATAGTAAAATTGTTTCAAGCGTCAAGCTACAACTGATTGTGTAGGTACCTACCTAATATAGAATTTCAGTAAATATACATTGTGTATTAGGGTTAAATTGTAAGTAAAAGTTGCGTCATTTTATATACAGACTTCAAAACGGAGGAGGTTATCAATAAGGATGTTTTTATTTTATTTTTTATGTATGTTCGTGCATAATTCCGTCATAAATATACAGATTTGCAGAATTATTTTATTGTTCGAAAGGGGTTTATTCCGAAATGGTCGCATATAATTTTTATATAGATCTGATGATAAGTTTAGAAAAACAACAACGGAACTGTTCTGAAAATACCAGCAAGTGCTGCTAGGTTTTTAGTGCTCTTTGTTAGTATTGTTTGAATTCTTAACTTTTATTAAAAATGATTTTATTCTATGTATATTTATGTAATAAAGCACGGTTAATTTGTATGTAACACCTCGAATAAAATAAATTTATGATTTTTCATAGTTTCATTTTTGACGTAAATACGAATGTCATAATCTAGTGTAAAATTGTAGGCAACTAGAAAGCATTAGTAGTTTTAGGGAGTTGTTGTTTTTGTCATACATATGTATGAAATATGAATTGATATAATATTCTTTTTAATAATAATATGTAGGTAATCTAAAAAGAAATAATCGGCTCAGCTTCTAACTCCTGACTACACACAAGACCTCCCCGTCATTTGTGCAGTCAGGACTAATGAAAAGTTCCATTTGATTACTTAATTCAAATCGTTCAAATGAGACCCATTTCAGGGAAGACTAGGTCATGCCCCCCATGAGCTCTTTAAGCATTAACGACTATTAGGTCAATGTGTCACTTAATGAGTATTAGCATCAACCAGGGTCGAATATTAGGTACCTACTTTTAACTCAGGAGGGGTATTTTTTTGTGTAATCAGGACTCACGACAATCTTCAATTTGATTACCTACTTGAAATCGTACGAACTAGATCCGGCGCAGGGAGTGGTAATGACACCTCCCGCCCTCTCGGATCTGCCTTGGTCCTGGCAGTAAAATGGGTCATTTTTTACACATTTCAATTTTTTTAGAGACAATGTATAAAGTATATGTCAACTTTGATTTGAAGCTACATTTTTGTAGACACTATATCCTATATATAATTATTTATAAAATTATACTATGCATAACAAGAACAGGACAATACGATCTTGAAAAGAACTGAAACTGCTTGACATTTTGCCAACCTTGTCGAAGAGTCGGAAAGAAACAGAATTGGAATGTGCGAAAAGGCACTAACGATATAATTTCTTATTTCAGGACGACTAATGCATAAAATACTAGAGGAACGCCGAAAAGAAGATTTAGCCACATTACTGACAATAATGATACAATGCACCACTATTACACCCTTCAGATGGCACAAAAGCAAGTACATGTGCTTTTATTGCTGTTCGTTATTCGTAGAAAGCTTCAAACTTAAAGAACACACCGAATCAGACCACCAAGAGATACCAATTGAAGAAGTTATCGTCAGAACTCTGTACAGAAACGGTAAAATCAAAATTGAAGTCTCTGATATTTGGTGTTCCCGTTGCGAAAACCAATTTACCAGTTTTTTGGAATATTTCAAACATCTATCCCTCATCCATGGAATATTACTGGATAAAGATACTGTAAAAGCATTTGAATGCTTTCGCCTAGGAGATAATGGAATGTCCTGCTTGGATTGTGGCCAAAATTTCAGATTTTTTGGACCTTTACTCAGTCACAGGCACAAATATCACAACGAACATTTTCTGTGCGAAGTGTGCGGACAAGGTTTCGTTGAAAAGCATAACGTTGACAATCACGTGAAGCAAATACACTGCATCAAAGCCTGTAAATATTGTAATATGACCTTCCCCACACAGTATTCTTTAAGGAACCATGTAGAAAATGTTCATAGAACGGATAAACTAAAGTGCCCGTTGTGTTCGGAAATTTTGGGGAACAGGTACTTGAAGAAGCGTCACATGGCTTTGGTTCACGACTGTAAAAGTGCGCAAATCGTGTGCGAGTACTGCTCGAAGATATTTACCAGGCACAATAAGTACGTTCAGCATAAATCAAACGTCCATTTCAAAGAAAAGAACTGTACGTGTGAGATATGTGGGCATAAAGCATTTAATCTAGATGCCCTGAGGCGGCATATGATCTGCCACGATGAGTCCAGGCCGTTTGTGTGCGAAGTTTGTGACAAATCGTTTAGAAGGAAAAAAACTATGTTAATGCATATGAGAACGCATAAGCATGTTCCTGAGTAATAAATATAAATTGTTGAGTTGAATTCGGATGTTTTTATTGGTAACTAAGTACCTTTTTATCTTATTTATAATATTAGTGTATTTACTCATGAAGTTGGACATCAACAGACTTTAATAGTCCACTGCTGGACATGAGCCTCTCCTTAGAAAAGAGGGTTTGGACTGCTATACCACGCTGGCCAGACGGGTTGCTATAGGGTTTGTGTCAAGTTTTCCTTCTCTCTGCAGTGCTGTTGTTCTGCGTAGTTTTCGCTCTTAGGACATCCACGGGATGAATAGGGGTGGTGACACTGTATTCTTTGTCCGTCACCACACGGCAATTTAAAATGAAAATTTTGCTTATTCTTTCATTTTAGCTAATTGAAGTACTGGCCCAAATTATCTATACAATTTTGCCATTTTGATAGCAGTTTGTTTATCCCTTTACTGTAGAAGTCTGCTGGACGGGAGGCGATGAAGTCAGCGAGAGCGTTTTGTACTGCCTCTCGGGTGTTCATTTTTTTCCAATGTTTTTCAGCGGTAGTCAACTTAGCTTCTCCCTATGGACCGAATTCAACGGAGCTACCAGAATCGTCGATTGCCAGAATATTTTCGAACGGATTGAGCCTTTGGCATTGCGTAGAGATGTTACTTCACTTGGCATTCTCTATTGCTTGTGTTATGAGGAATGATCCCGGAAACTGTTCGAACTTAAATATACAATACTTGGCAAAAAACCACAGTGCACTTCCACGAAACTTTGCCTCAACCAACTTGTGAATCACATTGCTACCTAAATTGTAATTAAATCATAAAAAATATAGTCTATTTAAACTACGTAATCAATCATCCAGGTTTCCGCGGTCATAATTGTATGGGTGACCAAATCATGCCTAAACTACTTATAATATATACCTTCCTACAAATCTGTATGGAACGCTTGGTGGTCGAGTCCAACTCGCACCATTCAGCTGACCCTACTCAGTGTTGCCATGAAAAAAAGAATACATTTTCTGTTTTTTTTTCTGACTGCGACGTTCTCTTGTAACATATTTATTAAGCTAGTATGGGTATATTAAATTTGTCAAAAATAAAAATTGCAGATTTTTTTCACAATTTTTTACTGAAAATATTCATTAATGAATTAAGTTTATTTTTTCATAAATGGAATTGAATAGAGTCAATTACACAAATGAATGGTTTTAGAAGATAATAACATAAATGTATACTAGCTAGTATAGCTATACGTTTAATAGTTAGTCTCTTTAATGCAGTCGGGTTTTATAATTGTTTAAGTGACAGACAACGGTACAAAAATAAAAAATATAAGACGCACTATATATTTTACAAAACGGACTTTAGTTGAAAGTTGTGTAAACCAGATTTATTTGCTTTTATCCTAACATTCACCAACAACTCCCGTTATTATCATGATACCTATTTATTTTATTATAACTCGTCGATTTCGGCAACTGCTAAGTTATTATTTTGAGCATTATTATTTTCTGAAAATGAAGGCAGAGGTAAATAGCAGCTTTATTGTTGCGTGTTTTAAAATAAAATGCGTCTAATAATTAAAACTTATTGCTTGTTGCAGATTACCTGTCATTAACAGCAGACGAAAGATATGCTGAAAAGCGGCGTAAGGACGATCTGACGAAACTGATCACCATCGTATTAGAGAATTCCAACATCATGCCGTTCCGTTGGGCAGCCAACAAGTACATGTGTTTCTTCTGTTGCTGCACTTTTGTTGACAGCGTCCAGCTCAAACAACATACGATAGAAGAACACAAAGATGCCAAATTGAGAAGAGTTTTGAGAACATTGCTTGGCAGTAGTCGCGTTAAGTTAGATACTTCGGAAATTGCATGCAAAAGGTGTTCGAAACATTTCGAGAATTTCGACGTTTTTCTCGATCACGTCTACGAAATACACGATTTGAAATTTAATAAAGATATTGCTAGATGTCTTTTTACTTTCAACCTGTCAGACGAGGGAATGTCTTGTCACGAATGTGGACAAGAATTTAGATTCTTTGGACCGTTACTCAAGCATGCACACAAGTTCCACAATAAATATAAGACGTTCCTTTGTGAAATATGTGGTCAAGGATTTGTGGCGAAAGCAAACGTAGAGAGTCACATAAAAAATGTTCATAGTTTAAAAGATAGACAATGTCAGAAGTGTGATAAAGTATTTAGGAACCCCTACGCTCTGCAGGTACACCGTGAAAGAGCCCACAGAACTGAGTCTTTGAAGTGCCCAAAATGCCCAGAATATTTTGCGTCGAAGTATCTCAAGAAACGTCATCTAGCGTTAGTACATGATGTCAAAAAACTACAGTTCAGTTGTGACGAATGTGAACGAGTTTATACAATGAAGAGTAGACTAGTCCAGCATAAATTAAGGACGCATTTGAAGCAAAAGACTGTCACTTGCGAGATTTGTGGATTTAAAGTGTTCAACAATGATCTGCTGAAGCGACATATGGTTCGCCATGATGACTCCAGACCATTCCAGTGTGAGTTCTGCAAGAAAAGTTTCCAGAGGAAAAAGACTTTGGACGTTCACACACGAATACATACAAATGATAGAAGATATGGATGTAAGGAGTGCGGAAGGGCGTTTGTTCAAGTTACCAGTTATAAGCTTCATATGCGAGTGCATCACAGACTAAACGAGGGATCTTCTTGGAACTGACATCTTTCTTAGTAAATACAGATTAGTATTATTTTTGCCTTATGTAAATATATATGTTGCTGAGTTTAAAGGGTTTTTTTCTACCACTAAATATAGTAGTTTTTCTTCCTGAAATGTATATTGTTTTGCCTAAATCTGACAATACTTAGTTTGTGTCTTTATTAGAACGAAGTTCCTTATCGCGCGTTGTGAAAGGGGGCTAGACGGAAAAAATTCTTACGAAAATTGGTCACGACGCTTTTTATTTTGAATTGTCACTTGTCAGTCATTCAGCGCCATCTATCGAATAGTAAAATTAAAATTTATGTTCTTAGGTTGAGCAAAAAATATTGTATTCGACATCATTTCTCAAGGAGATTTTACCAATGTATAAATTGTTTTAATTAGAAACCAACTGAAAAATATGTAGGTAATAGCCGCTTTCATAGATGGCGTTGTAATTAAAATCGTGTCTAATCAGTTTTACTCAATCATAACAACTTCGTTCCTATCGGGTGTCCCACGACACCACACGGCTTTTTTTTATTAGTAGTTCTTTGTCAGAAGTTAAGCACAGAAAAGTCGGGTTAAATTTTAGAAGCGTTATTCATACCTACAAATGCTAGGATAGTGGTTTAAAATTATTGGCTCTATCGACATCCGTGTTGTTAATAGTCTCAGTCATGTCAACATATAAATGTCTATATATACATATATGTCTGTCGGGTCCGCTAGTATATATATACTGGACAGATATTGTCCTGTACACACTTCATAACTAAAAAAACATTTTGTAGTGGACAGAATTGTGAACCTAAACCATTCTCAAATTCACTTGAACACCCACAAAATCAAAATCGGTTCAGTCGTTTAGGAGGAATTCAATCACATACACACGCACAAAATAATTATATTTATAAAGATACATATGTCAATCTTTTCTCATACGAAATACAGTGTTTAGTTTACCAGACAATTTTTAGATTCAATTTTTTTATAATAATATTATTTGCAGAAAATGTAGTAGTCACAGTAGGTGGTTTACAATGTTAAAAGCACAAGACACATTTCGCTATATTTAGATAGCATGCAAATTTTTAAAACGATACCGATCTACTAGCAACCGAAATTACTAGTATTCCCGTTAACCCCTCCCACTGAGCTAAATTGCTTGTGTTAGGAGATGATTCACGTTGGTAGTGTACTGGTCAGGATTCGAACCCATGACCTCTTGATCGCAAGTCCAATGCCTTAACGACTTCACGAATGTAACGAATTCACTTCCAACTCAAGAATAACAAGTGCGTTACCACCCTTTCATTCTTGCACCCCAGAATTGCTTAACACCTTCACTGCTGCCTATCCATACTAATATTATAAAAGCGAAAGTGTGTGTCTGTTACATCTTAACTTAAACAACTTAAACCGATTTAGATGAAGTTTGGTACAGAGTTCGTCCAAGTCCCGGGAAGGGACATGGTAGTTTTTATCCCAGAAATTATCCTTTAAGGGGAAATGGAAGTTTGTATGGGAAAGCAATAAGCACTGAACCCATTTATATAAAATTTGGAATGGGGATACTTCGATTCTTGAGGCAGGACACATGTCACTTTTTACCGCGATAGCTGACATACACGCGGGCGGAGCCGCGGGCAAAAGCTGGTAATATATATAAAATTACCTTAGACTGCGAACGAATGTACATAGTGTGTTTTCAGCACTGGAGTATTGTGAATAGTCGACAGTGCGTATAAAACGCAACTGTTTTGTTCCATACAGTAGTGCTAATAACACACACATTGTTTCCTGAGAGCGTGCTGACAACACAACTGTTGCGTGAAACATACGCTTAAGTGTATAAATGTTTTTATTTTAGTTTATTTTGTTCAAAATGTGTTCTACGAATAAAAATTAAACTAATTTATCCTTAAAATATAATATTAGTTAACAAAAAAAAGCGTCGAAGGCAAGTCTTCATTTAATGTAAACTTTCAAGATATTTTTATAAGCAGTGCTGTACGAAACACAACAGGTGTGTGGCCAACAGACGTGGATCGAAAAAAAAAATTTTCAGCACTGAAGAAAGTTTCTATAAACACAAGGTTTGTGTTATTCAGCAGTGAAGGAGTTAACACCAGTTTTCTGTGAGGCCGTTGTATCACTCCGGTTAAGCCTGCCCATTTCTTTTGAGTTGTAGTACCATTAGTACTGAAGCATGTCTTTCCCACTTAAATATACAGATTCGACGCATTTCGTCATAATATCCGTGCAAACCAAAGTTTGAGGTTCAATACAGACAATACAGATTTCAGGTTCAATTCAACCAGACGCTTGTCTGCATCTTGAATACGCGTTACTTACAGAAAAGCGCCCAAGGAGATCTAAGGTATGCAAGGTATTAAATGGTAAATGCACTAAAGGATAAGAAATTAAACCATTTTAAGTATTGCTTAAATATTTATTATCACACCCAGGGAGGTAAAAATGTATAAACATATTTAATATTTACATAAAACTATTTAGTTAATTTACATTTATTTCGAATAAGCATGTGGGGTAGCTGTGGAATTTAACATAATTAACTGCATGCTGGAGTGAACAAAGCTATACAAAAATGACCACTCATTATAAAGAGTAACCCTCTGTTTTTTTTCTAACTGTCGTCAAATGAAAAAATTGAAATAATTAATGGGTCCTTTAGTTGAACTTGAGCAGTTTATAGAGACCCTACACCTTGCAAGATATTTTCAACCTGATTCCTTTACTTAAACACAGTCTTAGGGCTCTATTTTACTGAGATTCCCTCTCTCTGAAAACAGTATTGAAATGAACGTCGATGAGTTATCTTAAGCTTTATGTAAAAAAGGCAACGAGCGATAAAATGTAATTGTGTAATGTGGTCGTCGTAAGTCGAACGCTCAATGTACGATGAAATAGTACATTTTTTGACGTTACTTTAGACTATATCGACGGTGAAGTGCCGACACCCACTTTTTTTTTTTTTTTTTTTTTTTTTTCCGTGCTGAAATCCCCTCGGATACCACCTATCGGTGGCATGTCGGACTCGAACCGACTAAAACCGCACGCCGTCTCGGGTACTAATAGCCGGGGAACCAGGTATACCTTAGAAAGGAAGTCCCTGGTGCCCCGACATACCTCGGGTCATCTACAGACGAGTAGAGTGCCGACACCTCCTAACTGATGTCTCAACAAAAAAAAAACATATTTTTAGACACTAATCGCACCTTTAAGTAAAATCTCGCATATCTGTTTTTAGTTACTACAACATTAAATATTAATGTGGAATTAATTCTCAACTTAAACAGTCGAACTACCACTCAGCTTTTTCTGTAATTTTTTTATTTGTTTGGGAGTTAATGGCGCGTTGACGTTGATTAATTGCTATACTAATTACAATTGGCGCGGCCAGTCGGCTCTCCTGTTAGTGACAAACGCCGTCAAAATATTGGCGCCACCAGGCGGACACCAGGAGACATTTTGCCAGTGGCAACACTGATATTGAGGCTATGGAATCTCGGTAAAATAGAGGCTTTATTAAACCTGTAAGATTATTTAAAGATTACAAGCTTAGAGAGGATATTATGTCACCGGTGTACACATCGATACGGTCAATGTGCAGTTATATTGCTTCTAGATAGCTAAAGATACATAAATAATATAAGATATATATCCATCTATATAACCTTATCCTTTATATATATATCTACCTATATAACCTTACATCATAAAATAATTAATAAAATAAATTATATCTACAATTTTGTCTTACATTGACTAGACGTTTCAAAACCACGGAATAATAAAATATTATTTATACAAAAATGTAAGGGTAATTTTTACTTGTCTCATTTATGAGTAGACGCGTGATAGAGATATATATATATTAATCAAGCATGTGAAGTTAATGTGTTAGAGAGAGACAGCTACATAAATCATAGGTGTTATATCTATGTCACTCACTACAAATGAAGTAAGCTTTGGCGGTAATGGTCTTTGAATTTAAATACTAAAGTTTGAATAGATGGGGTATTTCCACTTGTCCCCTAGGGGTTCCATGGACACAATATAGTCTTTGCATATGGTTGCCTATAAGAAGTCGCCCCAAAGCGATAAGCCGCTAATTAGTATTGTTCACAAATCTAGATTTTAATTCTCAAATGTCATGTCCTTCAGTGTACAATGTCTGGGGGTTGAAGTTGAACATAAATTGAATAATTATTCTCGCACCCTCGTGTCCATGGACCCCCTAGGGAGTCCACGGGTTCAAGTGGAAAGAACCGTATAGATGGATGATGTAAACACGGGAATGGCTAAACGGATCTAGATGAACTATGCCGGGAATAATGTCCTTAAAAAATTGATTTATGAATTCGACTTTACCGCAAGTGATCGACTGTTGTGTTTTATGTACAAAGGATGTATTCATCTAATCCATAGAGATATAAGCACAGAGTGAACAAGAGCCCTAATCTTGGCAATTTAGGCAACGAGAGAGATGGATAATAGTTAGGTCCCTCTCTTTCTAGTCGAGCTCTGTGGTTGGCTGTTGAATATGAGGGATTAACAAGTAGCCAATTGCAAAACTGAGACGGAGGAAACTATCGGGCATCCATCTCTCTCGTTGCCTGTATCGCTTCCACTCACAGGCAGCTGTACCCCGTGTTCTCTCTATGCTTATATCTGTATGATCTAATCACTAACCTCGCCTCTTATCAATGTGTTTTTAATGGTGTGCTTGTCGTTTGAGAATATTTATTGCCACTTAAGGCGACTTGAGCCAGTTTCTCGACCAGCTTGCAGCTGACCAGACAATTACGCTTTATTTTTATCTTATTCATTCAATAATAAATTAAAGAAAACACACTTGTATAACCTTAAAATTGGATTTTTCATTTTTTATTAACTTACACAAGTGGCGCCATCTACCAAACTTGTCTCACTCATTTATGTCATTTTACATTTTTCAAGCCTCTTATTGCTTTTTCCACTTAGGTAGCAAAACATTGCTAAGCCATTACATCTTTAACATCTCATATCACATGTAAGTCTTATACACACAGAGTGTTGAACTAGAAACACTGTGCACTCAAAATGCTTTCTTGTTACGTTGAGGGAGTATGGAGTCCTTTGCAAAGCTAAAGAAAGAAAGTAGGCTGTACTTCTTCGACTTTCTGGACAAATAGTCTGTCAGAACGTTGCTGTCACCTGAAAATAAATGATCACATGATCACTGCGAACTGCTAGATATAATTAAAGAATTTAGATAAAATCACAACCCCTTTTGATTGCCACTTAATTACCCTCCGTGTGGTGACGTGTAAAACGACGTTATCTATCGTTATAATAAGTATAAAGTTGGAAACGTTTTTCATAATTAAACAAAAGTCATTGGAATAAAGCAGTACGTGTTTCCGAACGCACCTTCGAATGTTGCCAGTGGTTTTTGTTTGTTTACACACTGATTGTTAGTAAGGGTAGTGTGTAACGCCTATTCACAGCTTATAAATTGTACAACTATACATTTGATAAACAGATGTGTAACTTATTTTTATTAATAAAGCTGTATATGTATATAATAATGGGCTCGGGGCTGAGCGGTAAAAGAGCAGGTTAACATATTGCAAAGTTAAGCAATCCTACCCATGTCAGTCTATGGATGGGTGACCATTATTAACACATTGAGACCCCTCCGTGCCTCGTAGAGCACGTTAAGCTGTAGGTCCCGGTTGCCATACGAACATCTGTGGCCATCGTTACGGGTACTTGGAACCCTAAAAAGTCCGACAGGAGTCTTTCTACAGAACTTCGATATCCCCTAGATCGCTTCTGTATATCTCTTCGAAGGTATAGGCGGGAGTGTATATATATAGGTATGGACTTACCTAGTAACGGTTGCGTTTCCCCAGTTATGGGCAAAACGTAATCGTTCGCTGATAGCGACACGAAGAGCGCGAACGGCACCACCCATAAACACAGCGTAAAGTACGCTAACACCTGGAAGTTTAAAAAATATAATGTTGATTATCACCGACTATCTACTCGTATATAAATAAAAATAATAAGCCAAATATGTTGCTAAGAGCAAAACTCGAGAACATCTCGACAAATTCGGGTATTTTTAGTGAAGTGATAACTTCTTATGGGAGGGTAAACTGCTTCGTTACGTAACGCGTTATGGCGTCAGTCTGTCTGGCTTCCCTTTCTCTCACGCATACGGTAGGCAGGCTCCTTCTCTTTCACTCTAACCCACAGCGCTAGCCATATTTCGGACATTTTACATAAAATTTAAGTAATAACCTGGGGTTTTCCCAATTTAAACAATTTAAATATTAAATAGTTCAACATAGATTAGTTTAAGTTATCACTTCTGTCGGGCGTCCCGAGACGCACACTTTTTTTTTCTTTGGAAGAAAAAGGAAAATATTAAAAACAACACTTTTCTTTTCTCATACAAAAAAAGATTAAATGAAAACACCTGTTTCTAGCTGTCAAATATTTGAAGTCAGTAAAAAAAAAAAACAAAGGCGCGTTACAATGCGACGATCCAATACTTTTGACAGAACGAAATCTGTCGGAGCTAGTATTATAAATAAGGAAGTGTTTATTTTGTTACATACAGTGCCATTACTAGAAGGGTACAGACCACTGTCGGTCGTAGGGGGAAAACCTAGTCTTCGAATTCCTTTTACAAAAGTGTTACTATTCCTTAAATGACTTTCTAAATAAGCGATTTGACTGAAAATGTTTGACATTAAATGTGTTTTTTGTTTTTTTATCTGTGGGTGTCGATAGAGCCGACAAAAGGAGTTAACTATGTAGGACAACAGCACTGCAAAGAGGAGGAAAACTTGAAACATACCCCATACCAACCCGTCTGGCCAGCATGGTAAAGTAGGCCAAAACCTCCCTTCTGAAGTGAGGCCTATGTCCAGCAGTGGCTTTTTTTTTGTTGACGAGATGGAAAATCCCTTCGATCTCCTGCTCCTCGACTAAGCTAAGCAGGTGTTTAAAAATAGGCTTTACCTCTGAAAAAGTATAATACACAGCTCCAAAGAATTTAAAAGCCATATAATGGTGCACCACTAATGTCACAACAGCTGTCATAAATGTGAGACTTGTCACTCTGACTACGGGGAAGTCCTTCAGCAAGAATCCATGGAGAGCCTGCTGTACAAGCCCTATGACATTCAGGTATAAAGGAAAGTCCTCGAAGATTAATAGACCGATGTGGATTGTTGAAGTTGCCTGAAAAAATTGTTAAAATTTTGGTTAGGGTTGCCAATATTTTTCTAGAAATATATTTCTAAAAATAACACATTTTTTTATTAAGTTATTTGTTTCATATTAATTAACTGCTAAACATTTAGAAATTTTATTTAATGTTATAAATGCGAAAGTAACTCGGTCTGTCTGTCATGCTTTCATGCCTAAACCACTGAAATGATTTCATTGAAATTGGGACTGGAGATACTTTGATTTTTGAGGAAGAACATAGGCTACATTTTAACAAGATAACCGACATACATGCGGACAGAGCAGCAGCCAAAAGTTAGTAAGAGTATATTTGCAATTACTTACTGATAAAAAACCTAAGGAGGCTAGAACTCTTCCCTGCCTGCTTGGTACACCCATACCAATAAATATTAGTTTTCTTTTTCTAAAAAATGGTCCTAGGACCAATGTTGCCACAATACTAAGTGATTGATAAAATCTTGTGAATATTGGAAATATCTTGAGACAAAACTAACATTTCTGCATTTGTGTTATGTGATATATAATATTACTGCAACTATAAATGTGACAACAAACTTGGCGGCGAACTTTCGCAGTTGAGTGGAGTGAAGTCAAGAGTGAAGCTCGGGACCAAACATGATGGAGGACTACTGTGGACGTCTTTTGCCCCATCTCGAGGACTTCAGATATTAAGTCAAGTAAGGCATTAATGTGACATTAAAAAAATGAGAAATTTAGCATAAAGATATACCATCAAAGGGAATCTCATGCAGACAAAATCCTATTAAAAAAATTGATTGGCAAAATCATCATTAAAACAAGTGAAGCTGTAGGTAAAAATGATTACTAATGTACTTTTACAATATACTTACAATTACCATCCAACTGATGACATATTTGGCCATTACTGTGTACTCTTCAACTATTTCTGCTAGATAATACAGACCAGCCGCTGGAAACCAGCAATGTAGACTTTAATATACAGGCTTATATCAACTAAGGATCATCTGCTACCATTCATAAATAAGTTGGATATATATATTTTTTTAAAAGACAACTACATTAGGAATATATATTCCTGTGTAGCGGGGCACTTTACAAACATACATGAAATGGACACAAAGAACACCCAGACTCAGAACAAAAATTTGTGGATTACACAAAGTCCGTCAGCTTCAGCTCTAACAGCGAGCCATCTTTCGTGCCTGGCGGGACTACAATAAAGTGAAAAATTATTTGTATGTTCTTATTTAATTAATATTTGTTCATGTCTCCATTGTCCATTTGAGAGCTTTGAAAAAAGTAAAGTTATAAACTGAAGAGTTTACAATTAAATTTTATTTACAAATATTAAATACAATTACATTAATTTGGTAATCTAATTAAAATGCCAGTGATAACAAAAAGGTAAAAACTTTGGTGTTGAAATTAGAAGGATAATATTTTAACAATATTTTATTTTTTAATTTGCCTTGTTAAACACTCATTAATTAATAATTTTACAAAGAGTATATAATATAATAGCACTTTTATTGAACAGTAAGTATTTTATAAAAACAATATCAAATTATACGAGTTAATTGGATGAAAGATGAATACTACTTACCTATAGCCAATGTGACGAATATAGCTTGAACAATCAATGAAAATATACTTAATAAATATAAGAAAAACATATTTTTGCTTTGCTTTTTCACTTTGTTTTGAAGAGTTCTTAGAGGTTATACGCGTTGTCACTTGTCACTGTTGTCACCGGGACGTTGCCTATACAATTTTTAATGGGAACGCTCCAATGTTTGGACATAGGCCTTTCCTTAGAATATAGGTTAAGGCCTACTATACGATGCTGGCCAGATGACTTAGTATAAGGTTTGTTTCAAGTGTGCCTTCTCTTTCCAGTGCTGTTGCCCTGCAAAGTTTGCTCCCTTAGTGGGAACTTACGACATTCATGAGATAAATGGGGATTGTGACACTAGGTATTCTTAATCCGTCACCATACTGATAAGTTAGGTACATACTTAAATAAAAAACAATTTTATTTTCGTCTGTTTTGTTTCGTGTCTAGGGCTACGAATATTATACAGTATAGGTACACAGTTTCAAAAGTATTTAAAAATTTCGAACATGAGCTCAGTAAATATGATAAACTGATTGAAATAAGAAAATTAATGTAATAGGATGTGTGAATAATGTGTTATTTAATATAAAGTATGAAAAAAATAATTGGGAACATGCATGTGACTATGTGACTGTCTATGTGGTGACGGCTTAAGAATACGGAGTGTCACCACCGCTTTTCATCCCGTGGGTATAAGATCCGACTAAGGGAGGCAACTACACAGGACAATAGCACTGCAAAGAGAAGGAAAGCTGGACTCAGACCCTATACCAACCCGTCTGGCCAGTGTGGTATAGTAGACCAAACCTGCTTTCTAAGGATACGGAAACCAGGTTACAGGTCGCCATCACCTATCTAGAACTAACTGTCAAATGGTCGGTCTAAATCGAACCGATTGGAAATTCATGTTGTTCCGTCACACGCGCTATTGAACCCCTAAAGAGGGCCGTGTGGTTATTAGCCAACATGCAAAAATAAAACTGCATGAAATTGATCCGATAACGCGATCACCTTCGTAACATTATTTGATTAAAAATACTTCCTTATCTTCAATAAAATGAGAACACTTGTAAATACACACACACTTTTTATTTTTAGGGTTCCATACGTCAAAAGGTAAAAAAGGAACCCTTATAAGATCACTTTCTTGTCCGTCTGTCCGGTGTCACCACCGATTTTCTCAGGAACGGGTAGACCAAGCAAGTTGAAATTTATACCAGATACTGAGGTCTATGGTCCCTATTAAGTGTTTAAAAATCAAGGTCCTGATTCAACACGATAAAAAGATATGGGTAAATTTTGATTTTCGCGAAAACTTGTAGGAACCAAAATTTACCTTAATTTTCAACTTTTTTTATTTTTCAGAATTTTCTCTTTACTTGTGCTGTAAGACCTTGCTTTTAACCAAAATTGGCAATCCTAGGTCAACCGGAAGTACCCTATATGGTAGTTCCCGTTGAGCTAGAATCACGAAATTTTGGCAAAAAGAAACGTCTTAAAGCAAAAATAAAGGAATAATTACAAAAAATAAAAAAAGTTAAAAATTAAGATAAATTTTGGTACTTACAAATTTTCTCGAAAATCTACGTAAAATCTGGGTAGGTACGGAACCCTCGGCGCACGAGTTCGACTCGTACCTGACCGGTTTTTTCATAGAATATATTTACTAGAATTTATTTTGGCTGAAAGCTTCCAGGTGACTTGACTCTTTCCGAAATTTTTAACAATTACTTCAATATAGTTCAACCAATTTATAAGCAAACTTAAAAAGTTAGACACATAATAAAACTTCCTCATGAATCAATTTATCTTTTACATTAGAAATAGCCAGACAGACGCGGTTTATGACTTTGTTTTATAACATGGAACGACGATAGCGAAAAGAAAGAAAAAAGTTATTAATTACATTTTATTGGATATTATTAAATTGTCAAAATGCAATAAGTATACGTTATATTAATACTAAAAGTTAATCTATGGGCATATTATTTTTATACCACGTTGACTAGTGTTTCGGCATAAATGAGTCCATATTCATTCTCAGCCTTGCAGCCGTAGTAGCCAGTTTGAGTCTTCTGTACTTTGGCTATTGGGAGGACGCCATCTTTGTATTGGTGGCTTTCAAGAGGCTTGCCGTTATAAGTCCAAGTGATCTTGGGTTCTGGGAGCCCGCTTACTTTGCACGGTACTTCGATGTCATGAGTTTCTTTGACATCCAATTGTTTTTCAGGTTTTTGGACGAATTTTGGAGCGCCTGTGAAAAAAAAAACACGTTATTCTTGACCAGTTAACATGCTCTGAGGAAATTTATTAGACAAATCCTAACTTTATTCCTCTTTTGAAGATTATTATTTATATTGATATAGAGACTTTACAAATACGCTGCTAGTTAGTAATACGTAATTATGTAATATATATAGTTATTTTTTCCTTAATTTTACTTTTCAGATTTATGTACGAACTTTGCAACACCTGTGAACAAAACCTTGTTGTAAAAAACTTACTCTAAAGTAAATCATAAGTATAGGACTTTGTATTGTAAACTATTCATTTTAGTTTTATAAAACTCAAGAGACACGTTTTACATGACGTTATCGGTGGTTTTTTTGTATGGTATAGAGGGATTAACGAACAGACGGTATCGGTGGTGCAGTGGAAGCGTATGCGACTGCTGTGCATAGGTTTTGGGTATTTGGGTTTGTATGAACTACATATATTTGTTTCGGTGTTTGGATATTTTCTATGTATAATATGTATGTACTGGCAAAAAAGTATATAAGTAGGTATTCTATCAGTGAATCTAACTTTCATAGTATACAGCTTCGGATCTTGGGAAAGGCAAAGCGAGGCATACACTCTGGGCGGCAGTTTCAAAATCATAATACTTATAATATGATTGAAAATAAAAAACTTGTGCCACAAAGCGACTAGCATACGGAAGCCTGGTTGGCTCACCGTCGACTTGTGAAAAAAGGCGCCACACAGTCCCACACTACAAGTGAACCTATATATTTGTGAGTTTTTTTTAAGTAATTTCCTCAAACGCTGGAGAGAGGGGCGCCACTATCAGATTTCTGTCCCGGTTCGAAAAAATCGTAGATGTGGGGCTGATAGTACAAGGTCTACTTAGTTGGAAACTAGATAGGGTTGTGTGTCAGATATCCGAAATTTTTATTCATTATTTATTTAGATGAGTTATCTGATGGTAGGTGACTACCGCCGCCCATGAACACCTGCATCTCAAGAGTCACAGAATACGTTGCCGACGTTTCAGAAACCAGAATCAGGAGAATTTATGTCCTGCCCGAGAACTCAGTTGATCCCTTTCCCCTAATTTGAACTCACATTTACGGGTGAAATCTAACGAGATTAAAAAACATCGATGAACGCTTAACATCAGGTAGAGTGCATGTCAATTGAAATTGATAAATATTCTTGTTTTTTTTTTTTTAATATTTCCGTTCAAGTGCCGCCCCCAAAAGTTATGCACTTGTGCATAGGCGTTAATCCGCCAGTGCAAAGATATATAAAAAAGAAGTAAGTAAATAGTTATATTATCAGATACTCACTGACAACAGTTAATTTCGTGCTATGCGACTGTTTCTGGCCAACACCGTTGTCTACCTCACATTTGTACGTGGCCTGGTCTTCTAGGAGAGTTTCTTTGATGAGCAGCCTCTTGCCACTGGTGCGGTTGTAAATAGTAACTCTGTCTCCGGGCTGGCTCTCTATCAGCTTATCATTTTTGTACCACGCCGGATATGCTAGGGGACTGTCGAAGAGAAGTTATAAATGATTTATTATATCAAGGGAATTCAAAGGTATATTGTGGGTACCTACTAGGTGACCAATATCGTAATTTGGTGGTAACTTGCCAAAAATACATAATTTTCGAAAAACATCTACCTTATTTTTATAACATTTTATTCTAGATGTAATGTTATTGTTCCGTTTTAGTCAAGATGACTTTAGCTTTGAATAAAAATAGTGTAGTAAAACCTTTATAGTTATAGATTAAGCAAAAATGTCAAAATAATGTGTTGTGATGATGATAACATTATGTTTAACCCGTCCGTCCACATTGGGGTTTTGAATTAGTTGTTAATTAAATTAATTCATATTGAAAATCAATCTTCCGCTATCAATCGAAATGACAACGGAGTCCGAATGTCAATATTAAGAACTTGTACTTACAAGCTGGACATGGAATTCGTTTATAAAAAAACCTTAAAAATAATTAATAAATATTTTATTAGATCTTAATGATTTTTTTTATTACAAACTCTAAGTAAATATTAAACTTAATATATAATCAGTTGACGTGTGTTCATAAACACAAAATGTTTTTTTAAACCACGTTGACTAGAGTTTCTGCATAAATGAGCCCATGTTCATTCTCCGCTTTGCAGCCGTAATAGCCAGTTTGAGTCTTCTGTACTTTGGCTATTGGGAGGACGCCATCTTTGTATTGGTGGTTTTCAAGAGGCTTGCCATTGTAAGTCCAAGTGATCTTGGGTTGTGGAAGACCGCTAACTTTGCACGGTACTTCGATGTCATGAGTATCTTTGACATCCAACTGTTTTTCAGGTTTTTGGACGAATTTTGGAGCGCCTGCGAAAAAAAGACACGTTATTTTTGCTATACAGAAAATTTTATATCTCTGTCGTGTACTTGAAGAGTAAGATTAAGAATTGAACTGACAAGACAAGAGATACAAAGGGATTTCGTATTGCTGTTATTCATTAATTAATACTCAGTCTTTTTCCTCTTTTATATTGTCATGATTTTCGCTTAAAGATGCCTGATCCAGTGGAGGTATTTCCCAAAAATATACTTTTACCTATGTAAAATAGTACTTAATAAAATTACTAGGTACGTTTTCAAGCTTATTTCTTCGTCCGAAAATACATAAATAAATTTCAAGAGAGAACCTATTGTAAATTTAGTATCTTATAATAGTGACAAAACAGAGTCTTCTAAATGATGAAATACCTTCCCCACCATATTAAAACTTATCAGATTTCTTTTATATTAGCTGTTTATATTGGAATCCACTTTTCATCAAGGAGACTTCTTTGCTAGTGAACTAGCTTTGTGAATTAGTTTAGACACTCACTGACAACAGTCAACTTCATGCTGTGCGACTGCTTCTGTCCGACATGGTTGTTCACTTCACATTTGTAGGTGCCCTCGTCTTCAAGAAGAGTCTCCTTGATGAGCAGCCTCTTGCCACTGGTGCGGTTGTGGTCGGTGACCCTGTCTCCGGGCTTGCCCTCAATGAGTTTATCGTCTTTGAACCAATCCGGGAAACCGAGTGGGCTGAAAGGACAAAGGTGAACATGGCATAGACTTAGCACAATCTAACGAAAATATATCATATAACTTCTTAAATTTATTGCATCGATTACACTTCGTGGAAATTAAATTTTCACACAGACTTACAATAAAAAAATATACTTTTAAATAAAATCTGCTTCGTTAGAATTTTGAAGTCAGTAAATTTATTAATTTATTTATATTACGAATTACGAATTCATTTTATTCCACGTAGTCACATTTCGATGCATTTCATTTTTTAAAATTTAATAAAAAAATCACATTAAATAAAGATAAAACTATAAAATACGAAAATACTTACCTACATGTATTAGATTTACTATTACAACAGTCCAAAGGATACTCGGAACACTTAAGCATGTCGGTGCATCAATAAAAAAAAATACTGTCACATCTTTGATATGACAGCATTGACAGCAACTAATTTGTCTATCCGTACCTATCGTAAATAACATGAAAAATGCTTTTTTCCTCAACTTAATACCACGACACAATGTTGGTCAAATAGTTTATCGGAGTTATTACGACAATTTACATTTAAATGAATTGCCATGACAATAGGCAACTATTTTTTCAACGTTTTATGTGACATTTCTTCAAGCATAGTGACTTTCCTATTAAAATGCCTATTGGCCACAACATTGATAATACTTGTTATAAGTATTTGGATTGTAGTTCTAAGAATATTGAATGATGTTTTATCACCTTTAGTAGAATAAAAATATTATTTGTATATTTGTTTGTAACTATTCATAAGATTTGTTGGATAAACCCAGATTTTAGTTACGAAAATTGAACAAAGTAGGTTCTGTAAAAATCAGGTGCGACGACGAATTGAATGGAACTGCATAATGGCCATCAGGTAATGCAGATATTCTTTTATATCCAACGAACAGACACTTAGTAGGCCAAAGCCTCCTTTCTAAGGAGAGGCCTATGTCCAGCAGTGGACTATTATAGGCTGTTGATGATGATGATGATGATGATGATGAGCAGACACTTTTAAGTGACTATTGCCAGTCATACCCGCAACTCTTGAATCGCAAGTGCATTGCAGACTATTAAGTTGTGCGCTCTTTTCTTGAAAATTAAAAAGCATATAAAAATACTCACGTGCCACCATAGATGCAGTAAATCATCGTCACATCGCCAGCTTTAGCCATCATATCATTGCTCAGATATTGAGGAACCAGTTCTCCATCATTCGGCTCCTTGTTCTCTACCAAGCTCTTGAGGAAGTGCTCAGCCAAGATCACGTCCTCAGTCACAGCAGGAGATTGAGCGACACAGATGTACTTGAAGCTAGGGCTCACATCAGACTCTGTCACGTTCGAAAACCATAGGTTACCGTCAGGGGACACAGTGATTCTTCGGTTCAAGATGCCTTCGATGATGCTGGGGTCAGAACGCAGCTGTGTTTTCCAAACAATCGTAGGTTTCGGGTAAGATTCTGGTATTTGACATTCCAGTTTGTAAGGTTTACCGAAAACTGGTGTGTGCTCCTTTGTTTCCACTTTGGGCACGTTTAAGAAGGCTTTCTTCAATGATATGGGGCGGGTGCTGGCGGTTCCTGCAGAGGTTTTCGCGAAGCACTGGTAAATTCCCTCGTCTTGGGGCTGAGGGTTGAAGAACATGATGCTGCCTTCTCCGGGACGTTCAGCGATGTGTCCAGCTGCTTTCCAGTCGAAAGGTGCACCATTTTTGTACCAGGAGTACCTGTTGGTATGAAATTCTCATGATGAGGCTCGGAAAAGACCAAAAATGCTATTTCTCCTTGTTTATCTGCCACAGAAGAAGAGTACGGGAGAATGATAATTTTATGGGCGAATTATTTGTCTATCTTTACAGTACTGCTGTTTTATGGGAGTTTAATGGGGTTATAAGCTAGACTGATCAGTATCAAGTGGGATTCGCTGTTTTTTAAGTTTTCTCTTTTGACAAAAATATTTTATTTATACTCGAATAGGAATCCCTTTAAGGTATAACTTTCGTAATTAAATATATTTGTCAAAGTTAATCACGAGATCTTGGAGACACGGCAAATACATACAAAAATCTGAAAAAACGAGGATTCATCTTTTCTAAAATTGGTTGTGAGAACTAGAGACGAATATATTGGGTTCCTATCTGAATAAAACTGTCAGATTAAACTGTCTTTACGCTACATGAGATTGGTTTATCTGTGCTTAGAGTCCGAGATGTATTTCTACCGGGGAAAAGGTTCATCAGATCATCATCGTGGTTTGGCTGACTAAATAACGGTATCTTCTGTAAAACAGTTACCTCAAAGTAGGACTGGTTTGGTGTTTATTAAGCAAAACTAACTTACACCATGACTTCATTCAATCGTAATTCACTGGACTTCAGAACCGCGGAGGTCCAATCTTTGAATCGAGTTTCTGTGTTTTGTTACGTTAAATTTTGTTTAATTTTTATTTTTATTTTTTTAGGGATAACAACAGCTGCAATTCTTAACTAGGAAGTAAACTATGATTACGTGAGTAGCCAATAAAAGTTATCCACGGTAGATAAGAGTGGATGAATATGCTAACAACAATACATAATATTAAAACTGATTGGTAAACCTTGAAAAGATGGGTGAATAGATGTAAAATATGAAATTAAGTTCCAAAATATATTTAAGTTCCAAAGACTCGGATATGTGTTTTCGCAATAACATAATATTTATTCATGTTATTCTTAAAGCGTAATATCAAGTAAATAAAGAAGAAAGAAAAAAATCGATTGTCAGAGGAAAAAATGAACTGAACTTATATCATGCACGTCGTGTATTTTTCCTCAAGTTTATACTACGCATTTAACAAAGTTGTGTACGTAAAAAGGCATCTAAGAAATGACATAAAACTTTAACGACTTAAACACATACTTTACTTATCATTGGATCATCAAATTTTTATAGTTATTCTAAAACTTTGTAAATATAAGTATGACCAATGCGCCAAAAGCACTAAATCGATTTTCAAGTCTTTTAGTTAGTTAAATCTGGAATTTGAATTAAAATCAAGTATATTGATAAAAGTTAGACATACAACGATACCCTTCGCGTTTCGAAGGCTATTTTGATGATGTTTTAAAAGTAAAAAATTGTGATCGAAAGATTGACATGGTGCCATATTTAAAAAAAGAGCAACTATGGCGGGAAAAATAGTTACATAGTTAATAGATAAAATATTTTATTTCTTTTTGAAATCTTGGTTACAAAAGAAATATACTCACTCAACATCTTTTTCACTGTTTTCAAGAGCACACTCTAGGAATGCAGTGGAGTAGTTATCATCCTTGAATAGGACCTCGGCTTTTTGGTCTTTTAAGACTGGCAAAGCTTTGCTCTGTGTTGGGTGCGAGGCGCCTGTGTGAATAATGTTAAAAAAAAAAAAAAACGGTGTATGTCCGAAATATTTCGTTATGTGTAATTCTCTGTAGGTATTTAAAGAAAAGCTAGAATAGAGCAGAGTTTACCAACTAGAGTGACAAGTAAGTCAAAATTAATTTTTAATTTCTATCAAAATAAAATAAAACTCGCCATTAAAAACAAGAAATACTTTTACTGTCACATAAAGGATATTAAACTTGTAAAACAAATCTTGATAACTCACATAAAACTATGCACGCCGCTAGGACGACACAACTCTTTAGGATTTCCATAATGCAACTGAAAAAAAAACAATAATTTATGTGATCATCACGAGGATGCCTGAAAACATTTTTTTTTTTATAATTTCATAGTTCTGCCACAGGTAACATAATCATAACCTTTTATATAAAAAAAAAGATAAAATAACCTTTGCTTTTATGGCACAGTCTAAGATTTTATCTCTTGTTTACAAACTATTCTGTTAGGTATATTATTACATTCGTTTTCTACACTATTTATTCTTGAATTGGGCTGTTAAATGTAGGTATTCTAAGGGCCAATCAAATTTATTGTGCATTTAGTATAGCGTTGTGTAAATTGAATATATACAAAGTACAAACAATGTCCTCCTAGGGACTTGATACAGCTACTGAATTACCAAGCTATGAACATTAGGTCCGTCCGTACGTCCGTTAATGGCATACACAGAAGGCATTCAACTTTTAAATTCATATAATGTGATTAATACTAGGTGTCACTAATGACATATTTTATTACCAGTACTTAATTAATAATAATTAATTGACGGGTTTGTTGGTCCAACCACTGGACCAAGCGACCATGACTGCTAAGCCGGAGGTCGTGAGTTCGATGCCCATTTAGGACAAATATTATGTGATGAGCAATATGATTGGTTCTGTGTCTGGGTGTAATTTATCTATTATATGTACGCGTTTATAAAAATATAAGTATGTTTATCAGCAGTCTGCTGTGTCTAGTTTGGTGTCACACGGCTGTGTGTGAGATGTCTCAAGTTATTATTATTAGTAATAAAAACTGGTCAAAAAAAAAGAAACAATTTAAATATGTATATGGTAAAAATATTGTAATAAAATAAATAAAAAATAATGATATACCAAATAATAAACTTAATAATATTTTAATCACTGAGCAAACACGGGAAATATAACAATGTCTTAAAAAAACTTTTTTTTAAAGTTAAAATTTCAATTTTTTTTTGTATGAGTATTAATTTTATTACCCATTTATTATATTTATATGGACCCCAAATACGTAAATATCTAGTTCGGTTCTTTTTATTCGAATGCTAAAAATTTAAATAATCTTTTCTAAATGGAAAAAAGTAAAATAAAATATAAAAACATTTTTGTTGATTTGTACACTCTTACACATATCATAACATTCATACTTGAACAATTTATAAAAAATGGTTATCTTGACTTCAAAACATTATTTATTGCATAATTTGCCGAGAATATGGTATTTTAATATTAAATTACATTAATTTGTAAACAACAAATAAATGTACTTCCATTATAGATAAATCCTTAAATAATGTAAAAATAAATAAATATATACACGATAAAAATTAAATTTAAAAAAACATATTGGAACGCACCTGTTTGTCAACTGGTTGGCGGGAAACTGCATCATAACATGAAGACGACGCGATATTTATATCGTTCAGGAATGATTCATCTTTGTTGTCAGTTATACATGTATAGAACCTCAGCCCGACGGCGGTGAGGTGTTCCATAATATTATAGATGCGGGTACGTGTCTCTGAAATCGTAGTATATATTATTTATTAACGCATAAAATGATTATTTTCATTCATTAGTAATGTTCGTTCTGATGGAAAACCCAATTGGTATATACGTTATGGTTTCGAAGTTGGCTGAAGGGATAACAAAAATTAAAAAATAATATTTACTTAAAATAATAATATTTAGGACATCTGATTTACAACGCCATCTAGTTTTAAACTAAGCAGAGTTTGTACTATGAAAGCTAGATTGACTGATAGAATACTTTTTTAAAGACCTAACCTAACCTAACCTACACATTTGGTCTGACCTGGACTCGAACACGAGACCACAGCACAGCAGTTGCATACGCTACCACTGTACCACCGAGGCAGTCAGTAAATGTGTGTTACATTTGTTTATTTTTAATCTAATACTAACTATTGCCCGCGGTTTATTCTCGCGGGATTTTTACTCTAACTTCCAAAATGACGAACTTCCATAACATCGTTCATCCCTTATTTTACCCCCTCAGGGATAACATGTCCAAAAATCCTTTCATATTGGGTACTTACAATGTATAAAGCATCAGATGCCAAAATTTCAAGTTTGAAGCCACAGCGGTTTAGGCTCTTCAGATGGAAAGGGTCTTCAGGTAACCATTTCTCGTAATAAAAGTTCGGTCATAAAAGGTATTTTCGTACTAAATTATTAAACATCCAACGTTGACTGTAATGTGATTATAGCTTATTGTACCGAAAATTAAATCGGCAATCTAAAGTCTTTGTAATACTTGACTATTGTACTACTAAAATACCTTTTATGACAGTTGCGAGATCGAGAGTTGATTGGGACTGAATGGTGACCAGCGGGCCTAGTGCAAGTTCATTTCACATCAACTCGCTCTCGACAGCGTTGCGATTGGTGGAGATATCAGCGCGGGCCAATCGTAGCGCCGAACGCGGTCACCGTGACGATCGAGTAGATGTGAAATAAACTCGCACTTGGTCCTCAGATTTTTATTAGGAGAATTGGCCTTCAGTCACTCAGTCAGGGCAAGTAATTTGATATCGTTACATCAATTTACGTACTTGCCCTGACTGAGAGAAAGATAGGTATTTAATTATTTTTTATTACTGCAATACTGTTCGCACTGGTCTCGTGGTCACGTAGCTAGTGTAGGGTAGTTTCCTGTACCAATGGTTCAAAAAGAGTAAATCAGATTTAGGACATTCTGTGTATGCATTACTCATTGAAAACTTTGATATTTCTTATATTTGTTTTTTTTTTTTTAAATTTGGTCAAACAAAAACTTATTTGGCAACAGTAAAATAATGTATTCGTATGAGAGATTTGCTTTATAAGGTACACCTGGTTCCCCGACTACTGGTACCTGAGACAGTGTGCGGTTTTGGTCACAGACATTGCCATTTCTAAATGGTATAAAAAAAAAGAAAAAAAGAGGAATAAATTTTTTTGAAAAGAGGAATAGGCACTGGAATCGCTGCCTATGTCATGACGTTTAGCCTATGGATTTATAGATTTCCTCCACAACTCAAGTAAATAAAACTCCATGCTGTACCTACCACCCAATTCAGTTACAAATCTGTCAGTAGCTGTAAGTATCTTAACTGTCTTTGATTCCTAGTACACAAAAGAAAAGAATTCCAGAACAATCTTTTAGAATTAATAATATAAATCAGTTTTTTTTCTTAACCAGTTCGTCTGTAATCGTATAAAATAAAACATAATTTATTCCCTTCTTTCTTTCTATTTATTATTAATTTATTACCTCAAAGTCGTACATGTGACTGCGACAACGAAGGCAAAATATATTTAAATTTATGCCTTCTCCGAGACCAACTGTTGGACGATGAACAAAACGATTACACAAATACATATATAGACTTAAGTTGACATTGAGATTCTCTGTATCCAAAGACTCGTCTATTTTCGTATGAAGAATAATTTTACAACTAAAGCAGACACGATAAACTTTCTATCGGATGTACTTCACTTATAAACTCCTACGTACCTATTGACTCGCCTGTTGTCCTAGTGATTAGTGATCCTGGCTGCCAAGCCAGAGGTCGTGCGTTCGATTCCCACCCAGGACAAATAACTGGTTGATAAGTACTATCATTTGTTCTGTGTCTGCGTGTAATTTATCAATAACATGTATGCATTTAGAAATATATAAGTATGTTAATCAGCAGTCTAGTTACCATAGTACATGCTCGGTCTAGTTTAGGATCAGACAGTCACGTGTAAGAGATGAAGTATTATTATAAATACAGTTATTGCGTATATCAGCATCGTCATCCACAGATTATCAGAATCCTTTTTAAATCAGCATCAGCATGAACATCAGCAACAATCGGTACTGACATTTAATGCTGACATTCAAATCCTGACGTGTTTGTTTTAGGGTTGACTGTTGAAGAACTCATGAAAGAAAAATCTCCACTGGCTCAAAGATTCTTGTCATCTCTCTGTTCTTTCGGTACCATTTCACAGAATGAGTGAGTTAACCAGAGGATCCCTTCCAGTAATTCTGACCGAGGCACTGCAAGCTGGAGACGCATTTGTGACTCGTTCATTTAGTTCACGTGTGACGATAATCACTTACCATCAAATGATCCATCTCGTTCGTTTGCCCCCTATACTATCAAAAGATAAGAAAGTATACTGGTTCCTGCCCCCACTCGAAAGCTAGAGATAGGCAAATTTAATATTTGCATTGCGTTTAGGTAAACAGTACGCAGAATACTTACTTACTAATACATATTTAATATCAAGTAGTAGGAAAGTATTTATAACCTTGAGTAATATGACTAAGTAAGCATTGATATAGTTATCCAGTTAATTTGTTGCGTAGTTATTTATAAACAATAATTAATCGCCGACTTCTAACGTAACTGTATTCTATATTCCTTAATTTGCCATACTTAGGGGTAGTATTTTTACTTCAAATTCGAATAGGATCAAATAAGAAGTGTACTATTCCAAATAAAATAAAAATTTCCCAATCGGTTCATAAATGAATCAGTTATGAGGTAACAAACATAAAAAGAAATACAATCTCCTTTTTATTTAAAGTCGTTAAAACAGTAAACAAAGTCGAATATTGGCAGCATAATTTCGTCTTCGATATATATTATCACACGACAGCCTTGTCCTCAGTAAACAGACTGCCCGATAAGGCATGAAGCGCACAAATACCTTGAATTAGACGAAGGGTCCCAGGGTGGCCAGGGTTCATTGCAGTTCACGGTCAACTGGATAACCTGTTCCGTTCAGAAATGAAAAATTGCAAAGAGATAGTGCTGTGACCTGGCTAGCGTTGGCTTACAGGTTTTCTCAACGTGGGAGTTAATTTATTCTTGATTGTTATTACGGCTGGTTGCATAGTGTTAAAGTGTTTTTTTTTAAATAGCATAAGGATAGATTGCATATCCATAGGTGATTTTATGTAAACTGTTTTGAAAATCGTTTAAGCTTTTTTATCAAACGGCTTTCGGTGAAGCGTATACTCGTACCCTTCTTATAAATAAAAAAATGATGTTTTTTTAATCACAGCTTATGCAGCATTCTATGCTTCTTTTATTTTTATGGTTATTACCTCAGAACTCACTCATTTATGAACGGATTAAGTTCTTCTTTTATTTAGAAGAGTATACTTTCCATTCGGTCCCTGTAAAGTATGGTGAAAATAAAGGGTTGATGGAATGATGATTAGGGCAAACAATTTATCATAGATTTACTACAATCTAGGTGCATTTTGAAGTCAACCCGTCGTAAGCTTGCGTCTCCCGATAGTTTGGGACCCGGGGAGGGGGAGAAAGGGGGAGCTCAACCAATTAGTTAGTGTGTCGGTGTCCGCCGGCAGTGACTAACGTGAAAGAATGGCTGCACGTGTTGTTTTTTTTAAGATTGTTACATACGGTATTATTTTGCAACATGGATAATCTGCCGACTCTGCGTCACAAAAAGATTCAAGAACATTTGGATTAATTTTCATTTTGCGGTTGCCTAGAAGAGTTGCTTTTTTTTACTTTAAGTTTTACTTTCTTTGTATAACGGTCCCTAGATTATAAGTCTCATGCAAAGGTATATAAACTGTTCAACCATTAAGTTTTTTCTAGTACAAAAAGAGTTATCTATCTATCTATTTACACCTATAACTTTCTTTTTCGTGATTATTTCGTGTTTCTAGTGTGTAAAAATGAAGAACTTAACTTCCATACAATCGTACATCCCTTATTTCACCTCCTTAGCAGTGAAATTTCTAGAAATCCTATCCTAGTGGGTGCTTACAACATTAAAAACATCAGCTGACAAAATTTCAAGTTTGTAGCCCCAGTGGTTTAGGCTGTGCGTTGATGAATCAGTCAATCAGGGCAAGTAATATTATATGTTGTTTAGAAGATTAAATCTAAAAAAAAAAACAAAGAAGTCGTTACATAAACTCGTGCTTAAATCCTGTTATAATCAATCAACCGTTGCGGTTGGCTAATAGTATTACTGTACTCTGTGGCGGTTAGCAACAACACAGATTAAAAACCTAAACACAGTAGGTATCCATGGGTTCAACAAACTGACTGACAATAACAAACTGTTTTAAATAGTCGCTTTTAATTTACACTTATTTTTTTAACACTTAAAAGTCCCGTTACATCCATATTCTAATCGAAAAATATAATATTATCTTTGAATATTTGAGTTTTGAGTCAATACCTAAATCTTTTTGTTAACGTGTTTAGTCAATAAAATTGTCATGAGGAATAATATGCTACTAAGCCACATATCCTATCTTCTGCCCCGAGATGATCACAAAGGCCACGGCTTTCGATATTCAGTGTGTGTGTACTATAACCTGGGTGATTAGTGTTGGCCTATATTAACATA